AAACATACTGAAGGAGGGTAAGTTATTATTATCATCATCGTTTTTGGAAGAGACTTCCAATATATAACATGCCATTATCAGCTGGTAGTGAACCAACTGAGAACCTACAGCAGCCAAATGAACATACAAAGTGAAGATAGGATAGACATACACCACATGTAAATGTAAGTGGTTATTCAGCAAAACACCATGTATTATTTCAGGACTTCATTATGAACTGACATCGGTTGGAGAAACATTGGACAACCTGAGAGTACTGGGAAGCTAATTCGTCAATCTGGTTTAAGACCTTTCAGCAGTGATTGGCGGCCTGTTTGACACCTGGGCTACCTTTTTCGTGCATCTACATATTGCACGAAATTACATATTACATAAAGCAAAATTCTGTCTGTATTGAATGAAAAATAAAGCCTCATTAAGATAATGGAAATAAGTGAATCTAGAGGCTGATAATTTTCTCAAAAGGAAAGAAAAAAATGAGATAATATGCATTTTGGGAAAATTTTTGGACAATTGATCCTCAGGCTTAATCTTTGAAATCTGGAAAATAATTAATTAATTAACCAATCAATTAATTAATGAATTAATTACAGAGAATCAATTATAAATGCAAATTTTAAAGTGATTTATTTGTTCCTATTGCATTATTCAAAGAATTAATTATTTTATACTGTAACACCATGGTTTTAATACACTCCACATATTGAGAAGGCAACCAGTACACAAAATACCGGGATTTCGGGGTGGGACCAAGTTGGAAAGGCATTATATGATATTCAGGATGACCTTTAATAGGTTGACTAATTACATCATGAATAGTAGCTAGTGAAAATTTATGAGTTACATCTTTTGTCGCCAACCATAACTCTCCTCCACTGTCTGGCTTAATTCTTATAGCCTTAATGCTTGCCCACGTTTATCACAAAGACCAACCAAGCATTCATTAGGATTTAGAATTTCTTCTGTATTCAGTATTCCGATCATTGCATTTTCTGGATTCCCATAGCGTTCTAAAACTTGTTTATGTTCATTTTGTTCAGAGCAGTCCAGTGTTGCATCTGATTGACTTTCATCCGATATATCATCCTCTTGGACATGATTATTTGCTTCAGATAAGCGTATTTGTTCTGCTTTAGAAGATTTTGTACCAATCAGCATTAGCTTAGCATCTTTAGTAGGTAAAGATAACTCTTCAAGTCTGGCAGTATCTGATAACATTCCATGAAAGATGAGTTTTTGCATATCGACAGGAACATGTGTTAAAGGTTCCAAGGTCTTTTTAACTTCAGCAATAGTTGTAGATGGTCAGAAAGTTAGATTATACTTGGTGCGATTATGTAAAATAGTCAGAGCTATAGATGACTCCTGTGATACAATACCATTTTCGCCAAGTTGCTTATTCTCTGAAATCAAGGATGACTCTCCATCAACATGAGCATTTATCTCCTTCATAAGCACGAGCAAAACGCGCTACAGCTGAAAACTTCTTCACGACATGGGAACATTCTATTGTTTTCACCTATATAGGTGTCACCGCAACTGCAGGTGAAGTTGTGGATACAATTTGAAGTAGAGTCCACAGAATTTCGTCCTTTAATCGTAGGCCTATTTGACACCTGGGCTACCTTTTTCGTGCATCTACATATTGCATCTAATATATCATGTTTTCATTCTTAATTTTAATAAAATGTGATCACAAATCGTATAAAATACAGTAATTCATTCATTAAACGTTTCAAATCATATGACTTTCATGCAGCTAATAAAACTAAGAGAAAACATCACAGTGGTTGGCAACGTGCTCTTAAACAGACACCTTTATATCGCACAAGTATTCCTGTTATTGTCAGTTCAAACTGCCGACCACTTCCCAACAAAATTGTCATCTTATCATCTAATACTTAACACAATACGCCGATTGTTGCATTACAAGAAACATGGCTCCATGAACTCTATGGTGACAGTATGGTTTCCCTAAATGGTTTTACATTGTTTAGACAAGATCGACTATGCTCCAGAAAGAAAAGAGGTGGAGGTGTTGCAACTTTCATTCATTCTCAATGGTCAACTTCAAATAATGTATGTTTTTCTTTCTCTAGTGACTTTATTGATTGTATAACAGTCAAATGCCATCCGAAACACTTATCCCAGTTTAAATATGTCTTCATCTCAAACATTTATGTTACTCCTGGCTGTTCTGCTTCGGATCTATCTGATTTTGCTGATGAATTCACTGAATTCGCCGTTACACATCTTCAAAACTCTTTATCAGTTGTCACAGGAGATTTTAACTGCTGTGATTGTTCTTTCCTTGTATCATTAGGCCATGTCAGTATTGTTAAATTCCCTATTCGACTTGATGAGGAAATATATGAAGCACGTGCAGACGTGCTCCTATCATGAACTCGGATCATTGTATTATTCAGATATTACCTAAGATATACAGCAGATCTCACTTTAATATCCTCTCAAATCTGTCCAGGAAAACAAAGAAAAGGTGTTACTCACAGGGAAATGTGCTCAAACTAAGATGTATGCTAAATGATACAAACTGGGAACTTTTCAACGAACACACACTGAATGATACTATTTCCAATTTGACTGATTATCTTAAATTCTGCCTTGATGCATGCTGTCTTGTGCTAAAAATTCCACACTGTACCACTAGTACTGTTTCTGAAATAAAGCAAATTGTTATTGTTATTATTATTATTACACACTCACCGCCAGGGTTAGAACCCACCACATACCTGTTACAGCGTAAGCTTGTAGACTATTAAGCAACTGGAACCTAATCGCATGACTTCCAACTTCTGCCGATTCATGATATGGCACTATCACCAACCAATGTTGTCGGCGGGAACTCCATCCTAACCACCCGACCTTTTGTACCCCACTAGTCACGACTTCCCACTGGAACTTGACATTCGTTAGTGGTTACGCCATATCATGAATTGGTAAGAGTTTGAATTCATGGGCCATTGGATCGGGCCCAGTAGCTTAATGGTTTACGAACTCGCCTTGCAACCAGAAGTTTATGGGTTCTAAACTCAGTGGGTGTGTACTGTTGAGAATTTAGTCCGAAACTTGGCGGACGAAACAGTTATCCAGTACTCCCAGGTTGTCCAATGTTCCTTTAAGCGATGTCAGTTCATGATGAAATCTTGAAACTAATCAAATCCTCGTAAAGCGATAGTTGAATACCATGTATTAATATTATTATTAATATGCATTCCTTGAGCTCAGACTGGATTGTAGGGCTTCCAATATACATATCCCATCACCTTCAAGTAACTCCACAACTGTCCATAAACTTTCGTTTTTTTTTCTTCATAGTCTTGTACTCATGTCTTCACATCAATCGCTTCACTAAGTTTCTCAATGTGAATTCCTTAACGTATAGCATCATCATCAAATAACTGTTGAGTGAGGTTCATAAATGTTTTGCCGCACCATGCTCTATAGTCCATGATATTGAGATAAAGAGTAAACTGCCCCTCTAGGCTTTGCTCAATAATGATGCATAGTGTTGCGATACTATCCACTCATGACGGGTTTCTCCTGAATCCAACCATCTTCCATCCAATTGATATAAGAATAAAACTTGTGCACTGTGGTAGAGTGTAATTCCATAATGGGTAAATTTTGTTTTGATAAATTCGCAAGGAGGGGACATCTGAGACCCTACGTAGAATTCTTAATAAAGCAGGAATTGGGGGGGGGTGGCATTCAAACCTACAAACTCACTCAGGCAGGGACAAGCTCTGTAGGCTAAAAGACCCAGTGGACCCAATTAAACAAAATAACATTATTTACAAAATATCTTCTAATGACTATGAGTTAAGTCAACTACATAGGTCAGAGGTAGTCAGATTGTCGGGACACAAGAATTTAGCTAGGGTAAGAATGGTTAACCCCATGAAGATAAGTAATTTAGGAAAAAGCTCAGCAATTGCACTGCATGCATTAACACATAATCACACAATAGGGTGAATGGGAGAGGGTTAAAATTCTAACTAAAAAGTAATCTAGGTAGTTGGAGAGAGAGGGTTGATTACTGAATCGTGCCTGGTTCATCGAGTCTACACCCAACACGTGCAATAGGAATGATTCATCAGTCATACCCGAAATATGGAAAATACTATTACCAATCAAATCAAGTGAAAATCAAGAGAAAAACAATGGAACTATATAAATGAAGTTAGGAAGTCGTGTGATTACCTTGATATGATTATGAGCAGCAATAAATTGTGCTCGAAACGGCATCAGTCTTCCATCCAATGTATCTTTTTAGTCTTCAAGGATGCTGAGACTTATAATTTTCAAGTAATCGTTTTGAAGGGATTTTTGTTTGATTGCTTGGAGGATTTCATCATCGTGAATTGGCAAAAGTTAGAATTCAAGGACCATTGGATCAGGTCCCGGTGGCTCAATGGTCTACGAGCTCACTGGTCTTGTAACCAGAAGCTTCTGGGTTCGACCCCCGCGACATGGGTGCGTACTGCTGAAGAGTTCCAAACTAGACTGAGGAAACAGCTGTCCAGTACTCACAGGTTTTCTAATGGTTCTCTAACTGACGTCAGCTCATGACGAAATCTTCCATGCAATTTATAGATTTGCCCGAGTGGACGGGGGTGGTGGTGGCAGGAGCATGGTTCCACACTATCTCTCTTGTGTAGGTTTAAGTTGACCTTCTTTGACAGTTTAAAAAGACAGAGCGTTTCCCCCAAGTCGACATATACTTTCCTCTTTCTCTCATACCTTACCTTCTACAGTAGTGACATAAGTATAACGCACTTGAAGAACTCTTCATGGGATGGAGCAGCCGGCCGCACTACTGCTGAAAAATAACTCTGGTTTCCACTGGCTCTCTCTTCAGCTAATAATATCAATGAGAAATTCTCTTCATTCAACAGACAACACAAGGCCGACATAAATAAGCGAGAAACACAACAAAGGAATGCAATAGGTGTCCCCCATCAGAGATACTACTTACTTACCACAGACTGTTGATATACTGGATCCAATAAATGTGAATACTTTGAATTTATGACATTATCATTCGTATTTAGAAAAGGTGAACGTGATACTAATCCGTCAATTTCACACAAAAAGTCAATAAGCCGATTGAAGTCACTGAAAAAAAAAACAAATAGAAAGAAAAAAAAAGAGGAGAAAAATTTATATTGTGAATGAAGTGAAACAGTTACCCCACCCCGACCCTCCACCCCCAAAAAACAAAGAATTTATCACTAAAGGTTTTATCGCATTTCAGCTTTGCTTATTATACAAATCCAAATGCAACGATGGTTTAATAGTAGAATGTTCAACAGCCTGGGGTTCGAACCCCGTCCAACGCAATCCTTAACCAAACTTAGAGTATTAGCCGGCAGTAAGCCCGGGAAAAGATCGTGGTCACAGGATATCCCCCCCTTCCTTAGTCATAATATGCGTTCCAGATACCGATGTTCAAAACAATATCCAGTTCACATTAATTCACATCAACATAGGAGCCGCCGAGTCATCCACCGCTCGAAATTGTACTCCAAGAATTCAACACACCGGTTTTCCAAGATGCATAGAACTATAGGTTCAAGTGCTACTATACGGATCAGAGACTTGGCCAGCGCGTCATAAAGAGCATCTCAAACAAACTTCAGACCTTCATTAACAGCTGTCTCCGCTCAATACTCAAGATCAGATGGCCAGAAAAGATCAGCAACAGGGATCTCTGGCAATGAGCGAACCAATCAGGAACCGATTGTGAAACAAATAGGCAGAAAGAAATGGAGATGGATTGGCCATACGCTGAGGAAACCATCAAGTGACATCACTAGACAAAGCCATCGCTCGAGTGGAACCCGAAAGGGAGGCGGCGAGTTGGTCGTCAGTGCGAGGGTGACTTGGAGGAGGTCATGCGAGGAGGAGATGAAAGCATGTGGACAGACCTGGAGCAGGGTGAAAAAGTTGTCAGAAAACCGAAGGCAATGGAGGTGCTCAGCTGAAGCCCTATGTTCCTCTAGGAACTAAAGGATACAATAATAATAATAATAATAATAATAGGTTCAAGGCTTTGATCCGGGTGCAAGTCTACCAGGCCATGGTATATGCAGTCCAACACGAAGCTAGCCAGGTGTATGTGGGGCAGCAAACCCGTAAATGACAGGCCAAACCGAGTCTCTTAAACAGTGTGAAACGGGGATAAATATTATCAGGGAGAAGCGCGTGGATATAGCACACAGTCTTTTTGAAACCTGCATACAACCAGGTTTAGGTTGGAAAAAAAACCAGTGGCGGTCAAATCAAAACATGGCTTCATCAGTCAATGAAATCACAACAGTTAGTTTAAGCCAAACACGTAGGGAAATGTAGACTTCTTGATTGCCTGGGGTCCTCGGGACGGTAAAAACCCATGGCTGGAGACAATAGGCGATGTGGCTCAAAATTGTTCTCAATGACAGCGCAGATGCATCCACTCCTTATGACTTATGATTTCCAATGAAACTATATTGTTCTTCATTATTACTATTCTTTTTGTCTCATGTCGCTGTCTACTATCTCTATTATGCATTTTTTTAGCGTCAGTGGCACAGCGGTTAGGACGCTTGCCGACCATGCACATGATCCGGGGTTCGATCCCCGTCCGACGCACCCCTTTACGTCGCTAAGCCAGAAATAATGCTGGTAAAGAGGAAAGGTTGGGCATGAGGCTAGCAACCCCGTCCTGTAAAATAAACGCTGCTACAGAAACTTCAAGCCGCAAGCTTGGAGTCCTATGTACCACTGGGGAACGTGCAGGAAAGAAAAAAAAATATTGGGAATGTAGACATTGACGTAAATTACTGTCTATCAATTTTGGCTAGTAGCCAGCTCTCACTACACTATTAAAACCGTTTACAACTAGCAGCAGACCTTCATCAACACCCGCCCTCTTCATTTAATGCAGAAGGTTAGATTGCCGATCAGAAAGGATAAGCCAAAGGAACTCTTCCAGGTAGTAGTGAACCAAGCAACCAACCAACCAACAAGGTGTATTGCTCAACAAATATGTGGAGAAGAGAGTGGAGATGGATTCGATATAACCACACTGATGAGACATGCAAATGACAACACACGATAAGGCAAACCATTGAGTAGACGCTGAACGGGAAGCCACGGGTTGGGTGTGGGTCCGAAGGATCTGCACCCTAAACCGAAGCACATAATTGTCTGAGGGAGCTACAATTGACTTGAAGTTTCATCCACAAGACAGTGTGGAACAGCGTCAGGACCTATATCCCCGTGGTCACCGGTGACCATTCGATCCTTTCAGAATCTGGAGGGTTTTCCATATCTCCTAGATAATAGACCCGCATTTCCACCAGACGTTCATATTCGCCCCTGTGCCGATTGAAGACAGTTGAACAGGACTTATCCGGTAGATACTATGAACACAGCCACATAAGAGCATTTAGAGAGGAAAACTTAAGTCTATCGATCCTCAATATAGCAAAAATATTCATTCAGACATTTATAAAACACAAAATAATTGAGCAAAGAATATCCCCCTTTCGATAGATAATTTCCTCTTCCTCTGTCTACACAATTATATATGAATGTTTATATACATGAAATATTCTAGAATAGAAGTCAATAACAATATTGGTGTGTTTTTTAAATAAGATCGATTTGTAAAGTAAGATCACAATGGAATTACCACAGTTCATAAAAGATGCTTAACTAGTAATAATATAATAGTAAATAGAATATCAACTAAAATTAAGGAAATTTCTACAAAAACTGAGGACCATTCAAACCTAGATGACCAAGGTAAGGATAATGTCTGGACTAGCTTCTTTTGGATGCACAGGTTAGGCTTGTTAATATGGATCCCCACAGTCTCAACAATATTTAGTAGTGGAAATCTTAAGGGAAAATTGAGATTCGTAGGTATGCGGTAAATGACCCTGAAAGCATGGTTAACGTCAATCTTATGTTGTCTCCACAAGGTAAGACAGAATAGCGCTATGTGAACAGATTTTGTTTGTCCTTTGCTTAACCAGGCAGGGTGATGTTCGGAAATTCGACGAGGAACACGCCTGATTGTACGGCCTATGCAACTCACTGGCTCACTCCACAGAAGCACTTAAATTTGTAGACACACATGGAAGAAGCGAAATTAGGCAGTTTGTCTTTTACTCCTGAACGCAGAAGACGAGTGGTTTTAAAGATACAACGTAATTCAACAGCAGGGAATGCTCTTTTTACTACCGCATTTCTAATGCGCTGTGTTAGTATCTCGCTAGTGTTGTCCCCAAGGAACTGCATCTGAAAGAATAAGGCCTTTTTTGGAACTGTTGGTAACTTCGGCTGCTTTGGTTTCAGATTCAGATTCTTATCAATAAACTTTTCAGGATAACCATTCTCACTCAGCAAACCTTTAATATTATTAAGTTCCTCATCAAGACATTCGTTCGAGCAAATTGCTCTCGCTCTGTGGCGGACCAAGCACTTTATCACATTGCGTTTGTATTTCAAGGGCATGAAGTTGAAGAAATGAGTATACTGACAGTCAGTTGATGTAGGTTTTCTATAAGCACTTCTTATTGAGCCATCCTCTTTTCTGGTCATAAAAACGTCTAAAAATGGAATACCAGATTCTTTTTCTGTCTCGATGGTAAAATTTATTGCAGGATGAACATCGTTAAATATATCCAAGAAGGATGTTCTTTGCTTCATCCTCATTTTTCATAATCAAAAATGTATATCATCCATGTACCGACAATAGAATTCGAGTTCATTAATAACATCCTTCAAAAGCCCATTTACGAAATCTCAGCACGGATACAGAGAGCTAGTTTCGCATATGCCAGTTTACACCGTCTCTGGCGTAGACGTGATATCCGCCTGGCTATCGACCAAAGGGTGTGTGTACTGCTCATCAGTCCGCCCCGTCCTCCTTTACGACTAGCTGTGAGACCTAGCCATTGAGAGTGGAAGACATGAAAAACTGGCTAGCTGTTTTTGATCATAGGTGCCTGCGTTCCATCTCCCGTGTGAAGTTGGTATAATAAAGTGGGCAATATTGAGGTTAGGCATTGGTTGAGTGCTAGGTACAGAGGAGGAATCAATCGACGAGACTGTGAAGTTACACATACTGGATGGTTAGGACATGTGTTAAATATGCCTAGCCATTGCCTTCTTCGACTGACGGTCAATATCAGCTGACATAATGTCAGGTGGGACAAGAGTTAGTGGTGGTCAAACCAAAACATGGCCGGATCGGTCAATGAAATCCACTACAGTTAGTTTAAGTTGGCACGTAGGAAGGTGTAGACTTCCTGGTTGGGGTTCTCGGGACCGTAAAAACTAATCACCGGCTGGAAACAATTGGTGACATGGCTCAAAATCATTCTCAATGGCTGGCTGGCGCAGATGCATCCACTCCTTGTGACTTATGATTTCCAATGAAACTACATTGTTCTTCGTTACTGCTATTCCTTTGACTCACACCTCTGTTTACTGTCTCTATTATGCATTTCTTCTACTTTCTTCTCTTTCTTTGTGTGCTACAAGGAGGGAGTGTGGCGACTTGAACTGATGCACATATATGCAAAGTTCTATGTCGAAAAGAGACAGACAGACATTTTCTAGTTTCGCAAGGAAAATGTCGGCTAGAATAGGTCCTAGTGGTGACCCCATTGCCACACCATCGATTTGTCAATATATAGTTCCTTATTAAATAAAAAGTGGATATTCATTGTACATTTCAAGAGAAGCTCTTCCCATAAAAGATATAGGAATGCCAACATCGATATTTCGTCTTTTGAGTTCGTCGCATCCTCATCCGCACCACAATTCGTTTACGGAAGTAAGTACTAGGTTCCACTAGGAATATAAGCAATCAATTGTAAAAATAATGCACTATAAATGAAATGAATGGATAAACAAACTTACTGTGTAAATGAAGCATTATAAGGCTGTCGATTTTGATTGGTTGACGATAATAATCGAATTTTTTGTATAACCAATTGAAATAACGACTGTTGATCATCTGATAGTGTATTTGTCGGTGGTGATAATAATGATAACACTGGCAGATAGGATGAATGTCCACCACGTGTAAACAATGATGACGGTAGACATCGTAATAACAGGAATCCAGGTGTAAATAAACTTTATCACACACACGTACACAGTAGGCATGATGAAAAGAGAATAAAAATTATGAGGAGAATAAAACACAGATTCCCGCATGAACAAATCAATGATCAACTACATAACACCTATTTTGTAATCACATTAAACTTACCACAATATTTTATTGCTTCTTTCTATGAACCGGCTGATTTTCTCACACAGAAATATCAGTTAGAGAACCAATGAAAACTACCAGAGAGCGCTGGTTGACTATTTCGTCCTTGCTTGGGACTCATCATCAGTCCGCGGAGGTAATGATTTAGATCCTCGATGAAGTTGTGAGTGCGTACTGATGAAGAAGAAACGGCTACACCCAGTACTCCCCAGTGGTTTTAAATAATTCTCTAATTGACATCAATCCATGATCAGATTAGAACTTGACGGTATAGAAATATTTTACATATTATAGAAAACTATAATGACGAAAAAATGAGCCTATTCAAACATGTTTAATGTATACCAAGTTGAACAAAATGTTCTCAAGCGTTTAGTTTGCACGGATTTAACTGACTTTAAGTTAGATCACAAACTGAAATCAGTTCCACAACGATTGAAAAAGCATCAGAGAGTACACATCTGGGACTCTTCAACAGTACACGTGAAACTCGTTGACGATTTAACCAGCCCACTGGGATAGAACCTAGCAGCCAGCGCATGAATTTTAGCTTCTGATGTGATTATATTCTCTAAGTTGGATGGTTTAATTGCGAAGCTTTCATTGTTCGTTCTTCTAGACAACATCTTCAGTGTACGTTTCAATATAAAGTAAAAGTATCTTATTATTATTATTATTCTTGTTTCCTTTACTTCCTAGAGGAACATAAGGATTCAGCAGTATGTTTCCAACTATTGCGTTCAGTTCTCCGCCAACGTTTTCACCTGACTCCACGTCTGCCAACATGCTTTATCTCCTCTTCACATCACCTCTTCCACTCCATGTCAGCCTTTGGACGACCAACTCGCCGCCTTCCGTTCGGATTCCACTCGAGAGCCTCTCTTGTGATGTCACTTGGTGGTTTTCTCAGAGAATGGCCAATCCACCTAACTCCATTTCTCCTTGCATATTTGTTGCAAAATCGGTTCCTGCTGGATTGGTTCTTTCATCGCTAGAGATCCATGTTGCTGATCAACTCTGGCCATCTGATATTGAGTAGTAGTGAGCGAAGATAGATGTTGATGACGGTCTGTAGTTTTATTCGAAGTGGCCTTCATGGCGCGCCAAGTCTGTGATCCGTATAGTAAGTAGCACTGACTGACTTCACATTGGAGTTGAAAATCCGGATCTTATTTTTCATGCTGAGTACTGTTGACCTCCACACAGATTTTAGAGTGATGAAAGCTTGCTTTGCTTTCCCGATCCTCTCCTTGATATCCTCATAGGTTCCATCCACCTGTAGTTAAAACGATGCTTCTCAGGTAGGCAGGCATATAGGTAAAGGTGGTTGTTTCTTTCAGGTTCCTCCCATTTATGCTGATTGTTGTCTGTTGCTGTTGGCCAGGAATCTTCATCACCTCTGTTTTATCTACGTTCGCCTGAAGTGATGTCCTATCCTTGATACTTCTTCTGCCAACTTGTTGCTTTTCACTTTCATATCTTCCAGTATGTGAGAAATCAGACATATATCATCGGAGAAGTCCAGATCCTCCAAGTTTTTGTGTGTCCATTTTATTTTTCCCCGCTGCCTGCCCTCTGTCTGTTGCAGTATCCAGTCTATCGCAATCAAGAAAATCATTGAAGATATTTGGCAGCCAGCCAGCCGGTCTTGTCTAAATCCCGTCTTCACTTCTTCGAAGGATTCCGTGAGTTCCCTGTTGTGGATTACTTGGCATGAAGCACTATCGCACAACTGATGGATGAGATGTATAATTGTTGGCGGCACCCCTTATTAGTAGCGAAGTAGTTTCCATCAGCCAGCCATTGAAGAACGATCACTTTGAGCCATATCATCAATTGTTTCCAGCCGGTGATTGGTTTTTACCGTCCCGAGGACCCCAACCAGTCAGGAAGTCTACACCTTCCTACGTGGCCTAGACTAACTGTATTGGATTTCATTGACCGATCCGACCATGATTTTGTTTGACCGCCGCTAGCTTTTTTCCACCCTGACCCTATATCCGCTAACATTGCCCGTTTTCGAGGAGGGCGATGACTACGCATACGTAACACATGTCCTAACCATCTCAGTTTATGTAACTTCACGACTTCGTCGATTGATCTCCCCTGTTTACCTAGAACTCGACGCCTAACCTCAACATTGCTCAGCTTATTATACCACTTAAGACACACGGGAGATAGAGCGCAGGCACCTATGATCGTAGACAGCTAATCTTTTCAAGTCTTCCACTCTTATTGGCCAGGTCTCATAGCTAGTCATTAAGGAGGACGGAGCGGACTGAAGAGCAATACACACGCCCTTTGATCGATAGTCGGATATCGCGTCTACACCAGAGACGGTGTAACAACAGAAAACAAGGGCCAGGCAACAGATCGTTTTATTATGAAAATCAACACGTATTTATACATATTTCACATACATTATTATAGACAAGCGCAGTCATCTGATTGGTTGTTTATCAGAAGTTAGGCAGACAAACGCAGGCTTCTGATTGGTTGTTTCGGGATTCCTCGAAAAATAGAGTTCTGTATCTGCGAATCATATTTTGCCACGTTAACTTTGCTGTGATTGGTTGTTGAATCAGCCTTGCTCATATTTTCTCACGGCCTGCTCTCACCACAACGGTGTAAACTGGCATATGCGAAACTAGCTTTCTGTATTCGTTCTGAGATTTCGTTAGCGATCAACTCGTTGGCTAATGCAACTTCCCAAATAAGTGAAGCGATCAACACACTTCAACAACCCCTTCACTCGCTATTTCTAAGCTACGAGTCGGTCAGTGTAGTCCAGTCCTGTAACATCATCTTGCATTTGGCGGGAGCGAATCGCATGCCAAACATTCGTAGATTGCGGCTCAAGGTGTTTAGAAGACTCTGCATTTCGTCAGCGTCTCCGCCTAGAAGGACTATATCGTCTACATATTCCAAGTCAACGAGATTATTCCCGGGTAGCAAGTCAATCCCTGAGTCGCTGAAGTCACCTAGGGTTAAGTCCATTAACACATCTATGATGAAATTGAATAGAAAAGGAGATAATGGGCATCCTTGACGGACACCACTGGTCGTCACCAGTTCAGATGACAACTCGCCATAAACCCTCACCTGGCTGTATGAGTACGAGTAGAGTGCCTTAATCAGTGCAATATATTTTCTTGGAATTCCCTTTACAGCCAAGCATCTCCAGAGAACTTCTCGATCGACAGAGTCGAATGCTGCCTTTAGGTCAAGAAATATGACTGTTGGACGCCAGTAGGAATTCCTATGTTCTAGAATCTGTCGGAGGGTGAAGATATGATCAATACACCCTCTTCCTGGTCTAAAGCCTGCCTGGCTCTCTCGTGTTTGTGCTTCCCGAGCACCACTCAGTCTACGCATGATTACTGAGCCTAAGACTTTAGATACTATATTAGTCAAGCTAATCCCTCTGTGATTATCACAGGAAGACTTGTCTCCCTTCTTGTATATCGGGATAATCAGTGACTTACGCCAACCCGATGGGACTTCTTCTGATTCCCAGACGCTGCCTAGTACCTCAGTTAATGCAGACAGTAAACTGTCTCCACCGAACTTAAATACCTCTGGAGTCATTCCATCAGGACCCGCTGCTTTGCCTTGTTTCAGATTGGTGACAGCTTTAGTAACCTCAGTTAGTGAGGGAGGACCTGTGTCTATATCCCATTCAGGGAGGTGTTGGATGTTCGGAAGGTTGAGCGTGGCTATGGGCCAATTAAACTGCTCCTCATAGTTCTCTTTCCAGCGTTCCAGTCGTCTATCCTGGGAGCTAATTATGGTGCCACTTTTCTTCGAGATTGTTTCACTAATGATTTGTCTTCTTCCACCCGTTTCCCTGGTGAGTCTAGTGTTGCTGGAATTCTGGCTAGATACTAGGACGAACTGGTGAATACATGCAATTCGAAACTGTACAGTATGAAAAAACGCAAATCGATTCAAATAACAGAATCAGTTTAAGTATTGGTTTGTCGGGGATTCGGTTGATTGGTTACAGGATTTCATCATGAGCTGACATCAGTTAGAAAACCTTTGAAAAACCTGACAGGGAGTACAGCCAGTCACCTATTTCGTCCTAGTTTGGGACTCTTCATTAGTAAGCACCCATCATAGAGGCGTTCGAATCCACGACCTTCTGGTTACAAGGCTAGTGAGCTCGTAGACCGATAAGCCACTAGGACCCGATCCAATGACCAGCCCATGAATTCTAAATTCTGCCAATTCACGATATAGCGCAACCGCAACAACTGTCCAGTACTCCCAGGTTTTCCAATGGCTCCCTAACCGATATCAGTATATGATGATATCCTGTATAGGATCAATTTAGTGTTCCACAGAGTTCATCGAACAACTGCACATCAACTATGATTAACAAAAGCACATACAAATAAGACACGCGCGCACAGACAAAAGTGAAATAGTCATTTGATATCTTGATCACCAACCTTATCCCTTATCTGATAATAACTTCTAATTGATTGATTTATTGATTGATGCTCGTGTATTGTACATAACACAACAAGTACTCATATATAAAAACAAACAATCGAAGTTTGTACAATATCGAAGTCATGTGATATCGTGATGATTACACCAGTTGTTTTACTTTCTTATTTACACATATGTTTGATGATGATGGATAATTTATTTATTGATCGAAGGATGTGTAAAACTCATCACAGTGAAAATTTCTATGATATTTAAAGTAAGCCTTATATGTTCAGTGACTGACTACTCACTTACTGACTCATGCATAAAATTTTAACCAGTCAATCACCAGGGGACTGGCCAATTTGACAAAAAAGAAAAAGAAACACTCACTTCCACAGATTTACAGTGATTTTTATAACTATTTATGTGGAGAAGTATAAGACCAAAGAGGTCAGTGATAATGTTATACAGAAAATAGAACAAATATATAATACTACATGGCACTAGAAGAGAAAGAGACAATAGGTATATATATATATATATATATATATATATATATATATATATAATGGATAGTTTGATTGGAGTCTGCACCGTGTTCCTTTATGGCTGTGAGATATTGCCATTAAGAGTGGAAGAGATGAAAAGGCCAGCTGGCTGTCTTCGTTGATAGGTGCCTGCGTCGAGTGCTAAGTAGGTGAGAGGGGAAGTCAATCGACGAGGTGGTTGTGAAGCTACATCAACTGAGATGGTTAGGACATGTGTTACGTATGCATCCATAGCCATCGCCTTCCTTGATGGGCAATGTTAGGTGACATAGTGTCAAGTTGGAAAAGAGCAAGGTAGTGGTGGTTAAACCGAAACATGGCTTCATCAGTCAATGAAATCCATTATAGTTAGTTTAAGTCACGTAGGAAGATTTAGACTTCCTGGTTGGAGTCCTCGGGACGGTAAACACCAGTGGGTGGTAACAACTGGTGATATGACTCAAAATTATCGTTCTCAATGATGACTGACGCAGATGCATCCACTCCTTATAACTTATGATTTCCAATGAAACTATATTGTTCTTCATTATTACTATTCCTTTTTGTCTCATATCCCTGTCTACTGTCTCTATTTTGCATTTCTTCTACTTTCTTCTCTTGCTTTGTGTGCTACAAGGAGGGAATGTGGCGAGTCGAACTGATGCACATCGGTGCAAAGTTCCATGTTGAAAACAGACAGACAGACTTTGACTGGACACTAGAAACTAGTGTGATATGTCTAGTACTTTCTTTGGTGCAGACTGAATTCTATCAGTCAAGTTTGCAATGTCGTCACCATTCTAGGTGGCTCGCCGTCACGGTGCACGAGTGGCCTTGAACCGACCAACCATAACAGTAGGTGATTTTTGCGGACAAAAATGACATTTATTTACAAGAAAATGCACGAAAACACATTAAACAGGGTATATTTCTCTGACATGACTTAAAAATACATCCCAGTTATAACCAGGAGTATCAGTTGCTAAGTTAAACCAGTTACTATACATGTGTATTCACCAAGGTGACTGAAGATTGAACTTTTTTTTGTGTGACATATTTATCACTCCTATCCTGTTTTGCAGTCTTCCCTCAAAAGCTCTCGGTTGAATTACTATGGTTTCCGGTAAGAGGATCGACAATAACTTACTAGGAAAATGTGGATAATAAAACAAATTAAAATAGATAATACCGACTCTAAATCTATCCCTAATCGTGACCCTAACCTTAATCCTGGTCCAAACGTAAACACCTAACTCTTACGAGCTATTAACAACACATTGTTCAAATAGTACTTAAAAACATGATCTGGGTCAAACCTGTGCCTTAGTTCATGAATAGCGTTCATATTTGCGCTATGATAACGACAGATGTTATCGAACGATTAGCATGCGTTCAAGGTCATTGGAGCGTTCACACCCCTGGGACGCTATTGTTTAACTTCACCGATTTTACAAGTCAAGGGGAAAGTCAGTTTTCTTCGCTGATTTCTTGAGCAATTTAACCCTACAGCAATACAAGTAAAAAAAAATAGAGTCAAGTTAAACACTTTAAGCACCATTCACCACAAATGGAGTGAATGAACCTATGCGTTTCTTCACGTGAATTCAAGCTGTCATTCCGCTTGATTTAAGTGAAACACCTGCACTAACGGATTGAAGCCTGAAATTTTAGTGTAGATCAGTATTTATCTTCACACTCAACCAGGTGGTTACGACATGTCACTAGAACTAGAACACGCCAAGCAATCTTATTCCATAGCCAATCACTAGCCGGTATCAGATCAATTTCTTCAAATGTCACTTTGTAGGGGTTTGATTTATTTTATGCTTGAGCATGGATTATTATCATCAGTGGCTGTCGAGTAGTTGGATCGTCAACAAGATTGATCTCATAACCTGAAGGCCCAGGGTTTCATCCTTAATGGTGGGGTCGTAAATGAGTACAGCTGAAGAGCCTCGAAAAAGGACGAAACAGAGAGAACATATCCACAACATTTGGAGAGGAAAAAAAAGAAGAAATACAAATACAATGTAGACTTACTTTTTACTTTTATGTACATTAATTTGTTGATATTCGCCATTTAAACAAGCCAACTGAAGATTAAATATCTGACAGAGTATATTATGAATTAACACTGAACACATGGGATCTTCAATAGGACACATATACATTAAATAAACACCTTGAACAATACTAAATTGACTAAATATCCAAGCTATGCTTGAATCAGTTAAAGATGATGGTAACTGACGGTGTAGATAACTGCATTCTTGTATTTGTTCGTTGCTACTACCAGTGTTATTCTTATCATTACTACTTTTATTGTTATTATTAGTATTATAATACACAGTGTCAATTGAATTTGTAGGTATTAATTGAATTAGACCACTTTCAAACTGAAATTTAAAACAAATAGAGAAGACAAATAAAAGTTAGAAACTTCCTCCCCTCTCCATCAAAAAAACAACAAAACAGAAAAAAAAGAAACTGAACTAAACTTGTAACAACAGAAGACAAGAGCCAGGCAACAGATCGTTTATCTCTTGAGAAAATCAACAGATATTTATAGATTTTTATGTAGATTATTATCAGCGTTATCGTCAGCAGAGAAGAAACGTCTTCTGATTGGCTGTTTTCTTGCTCAAGGTTATTCTATCATCTCTTTGTGGCCGTTTCTCAGACAGTCCAGTCATATTTAATCGGTGGATGGTGACTAGCAGTGGAATCCAGGATGCGCATTTCGTCCTATTTGGGACTCGCCAGCCGGATGTACCTGCATTTCTCAGTGAGTGAGATGACGTTCCCACCGAGTCTAGTGAATAACGCTTTGGCGTTGGAAACTATGGGTACTGGGTTCGAGCCTCGGTGGGAACGTCATCTCACTCACTGAGAAATGCAGGTACATCCGGCTGGCGAGTCCCAAATAGGACGAAATGCGCATCCTGGATTCCACTGCTAGTCACCACCCATCAATTAAATACTAACTAAATGCCCAGACATCGTCGAAGCATCTGCACAAGAAGCCGACATGTCAACCTGAGACCGAGCACTTCGGTCCAATCAATCGACGGGAAAATCAAAAAAATTCAATTCAGTCAAGTCATATATCTGCTAATCGTATCCGCCCACGCTAAGTCTGCTGTGATTGGCTGTTGAGTTCCTCAAGGTTAGGCTTTGTTCTTCTTTTTTCTTCTTAGGACCGAGATTTTGTCATGTATGTAACGTATCCAAATTTTGGGTTTGATCTTTGGTAGGATTATGTTTTCGAGCGTTTGCATCACACTGCTTCTGCAATCAAACCTGATATTCGCGCGATCCCAGGGATATTCCTTCAACTTCTTCAAATATTTGACCATTGAATTGGAAGTGCGTTGCGTTGTTAGGCATAGGTTTATGCATTCCATCCAACTTGTGTATTGTGTGTTGCATTTTTGATTGCTGCGGGGGGGAGGTATTCGTCGTTGCTGAGTAGTAGTTGTTCCATAATCTCTTTGTGCTAGTTTCTATCCACCAGCTTTCATCTCCTCCTCCTCCTCCATGTCACCCTCGAACTCACCCGTCACATGTTACTTCCAATTGTGTATACCAATTCACATGTATCTGTAGGAGTAGTTACATTGGAAGAACAGAGAGGAGAGCCTACGTCAGATTCTGCGAACATGTACCAAGGAACCTCCGGTTAAAGGTATCGAATTGTGTAAGCTCTTCAATCGCCAAAAACACATGATTGACACAGGACACCGATTAGACATGCTGGAATCATTCGAAATAATTAACAGACAAAGTACCTCAAGTCTTCTTAGGTTTGCTGAAGTCTGATTTATGTGTCCAAAAAGAATCCGTTGTTGTGGACTTCAATTACCCTGGTAACTCACATCTTAGTAACTCTCTTGTCACTCCCCCCTCTCCTTATTTTTCGCCTGACTCTCTTAAGAGATAATTTTTCTTGATCTTCTGAGTTCTGCTCACTGTATTACATCATCAACTTCTCATCTGACCACATGTTCACCGAAATTTTTAAATTTTGATCTTCTCTTATCTAATTACGTAACTATTACTAATTGTTTTTTGTCACCACTCCAACAACACAACTGTAAAATTAATTTTTCTTTCAAGAAACTTCTCTCAAACAAGATATATGCATATATGTCGTAACACTTTAGACATCCTGTAAATTGCAACGCTTTATTTTACTATAACGCTCTAACAATATGCGCTTGCTAATGGACAAAAGTTTGTTAAAATTGTACACTTTTTATTTTGATTTTATAAAAAAAATTCAAGTTGTACGCAGCTGCTGATGAGAACCAACAAAATAAAATGGAACCAGATTATTCTGCGCCAATGTTTCTTCTTTCTTTGTTAAAATTAGTTGTTTCCCCCGTTCGGGTTCCACTACTCAAGGGCCTGGCATACGATGTCGCCCAACGGACTCCTCAGGGTATGACCATATTTATTCGGCATACTTTTGGGAGGATGTCGGTTTTTGGTTGGTTCGCTCTCACAGTTTCTTGTTGTTGATTCTTTATGGTCATCTAATTTGATCAGTATGAAGCGCGAAATGTGGACAGCTATTGAAATGTTTTTTTTTCGTGAAGCGGAGGCCAAGTTTTTAACTCACATGGAAGATCTCATCAGACTTAACTCTAATATACCTACATAACTTTACAAATAAAAATTCAAATATAAACCAATCGTGGTGTTTTGTCTATAGGATAATAAGATGGTGAATATAAATTATGCAATTACTCATAGTGTGGTGAGAGCAGGCCGTGAGAAAATATGAGCAAGGCTGATTTAACAACCAATCACAGCAAAGTTAACGTGGCAAAATATGATTCGCAGATACAAAACTCTATTTGTCGAGGAATCCCGAAACAACCAATCAGAAGCCTGCGTTTGTCTGCCTAACTTTCTGATAAACAACCAATCAGATGACTGCGCTTGTCTACTTGCATAAGCTATAATAATATATGTGAAATATGTATAAATACGTGTTGATTTTCATATTAAAACGATCTGTTGCCTGGCCCTTGTCTTCTGTTGTTACAATAGTAATAATAATAATGATTCTATGAATAACAAGCATGAAAAAGTGGAGCGATCTGTGATAACACGAATAACGAAAAATAGCATGATTAAACAAACAATTGTGTTTAGGTAGACACAGTAGTCGATAAAGGCTGAGAAAAACAAATGAACCGATTAAGTAATGCTAGATTGTAAGGGAAGGAAATGAAACATGTTTTAAATGAAGATGTGGTAAGATCAGGGAATAATAAGAGAAGGGTCCAAAATATAAGTAAGAGGTGGTGGAGACGTCATCAATTAGTTGATTATGTCTTAATAGGCCGACGAATGATTGGGACGCAAACGAAGAATAAGCTAGATGGTTTTGCCACATCTATGTGCATTTATTAATTCAACTGCACCTACGGTGACAGTTATGTTGGGTGTACTACTAGACAGCCTAGCCAACATGTTAGCGAACATCTCCCATCGTGGTGTCTTGACAAAGGACAGGCAAAAACCATCCGTCGCCCCATCTTGTCACATTTAATTCATAGTGGTCATGTAGTGGGGAAAACGAGAGCTTTCAAAGTAATTCATCATATCCCACCGAATCCTTCCAATAGATTTCGTATTCATCTACTGCACACATCTGAGACAGGCGATAGGCATTCGAGCTATTAAATCTAAACTATGCATTCAAAAGAAGTTCGTACAGCCATTATTAAGGTCAATTAAGACATAACCAACTAATTGATGACGTCTCCATCACCCCTTACTTATATTTTGAACCCCTCTCTTATCATCCCCTGATCTTATCACATCTTCATTTAAAATGTGTTTCATTTACTTCCCTTACAATCAATCTAACATTACCTAATCGGTTCATTTGGTTTTCTTAGCCTTTATGGACTACTATGTCTACCTAAACACAATTGTTTGTTTAATCATGTTGTTTTTCATCATTCGTGTTATCACAGATCGCTCCACTTTTCATCCTTATGATTGATAAAACCATTATTAATACTATTATCATTATTATTATAATGACTAATTGCAAAATTTGTATCCACCATCTTATTATCATATGGAAGAGCTGACTTTACGGTCATGTTGAAAATCCAAATTTTGTTCTTTGTCCAGATTGCAGATGATGATTTGGCCTAGTCTACTAGTTTTCCTTATAGTTTTCCAGTCGGTTGCAAGTCTAGGTAAAGACGGAAAGGTTGTGGATAGAAACTTCAAAGCAAACAAAAAAAAAATCAATTATTGATCAAAGATAAAAGTAAACACATGCAGACACACACACACACACACACAAAGACACGAATTCAACTAACCAAAATTTTTTGTAGAACTTGTTTAACAGCAGGCAACAAAACACCAGATTCCTTCCGCGGTGATGTCGATTGAACAGATCGATTAGACTGACTAACTAATTGATTCCCTGCAGTAATCAGTTCATCTTCATAAAGACAAATAATCGGTGTAACACGTTTCCAATAGATTGAATGTTGACAGGTGGTGCTAGTGGGTAGTTGATTGTCATCAACACCACCGCCATTATCATCGGCATCAGTACTACTACTACTATTATTTCTTGTAGCATTCATCGTTTCATCCATGTAAACACCACACTGTAACCATGCCAACAACCAATAGGGTAGACTTGGTTGATTCAATTCATTATTATTAGTAGTAGTAGTAGTATTTTTTGAATAAGTTTGTATAATTTTCAAATTTACAGCATTTAATATACATTCTTGAACAATTGACGTTTTATGCTGGGAGGATGATGCGTTATACTTTGCATAGCTAGACGGTGATGATGATGATGACGTTGTCGATGCATTAGATATATTCGATTTCAGTGTATTAATCATATGAAATGTTTGACACAATGCCCATGTATATGCTGCTTCCAATGATGTATTCACAATATTATGTAATGATAATTCCCTGCATGACTTGTTGTTATTCGTGTGTAATTCTTCAATTTTCTTCATATATGAGGAATCAAGTGTTAAATAGACAAAAGAAAAAATAATAATAATAGTAGAAAGGGGTATTCACGTGTGTGTCGAATCAATAAATTTAAGCATGATACATGTACATACATCAATGTAAAAAGAAAGCACACAAAAAGAACACGAGATTCAAGGATAGGAAAACATATGATTCCTACAAATATTGAAATAAATTTTCAAGGATTAGTTCGTAGGAATTCTATTTTTTTCAGGTTATACCACGGATTGATATCGGTTAGAGAAGCATTGAAAACCAGCGGGAAATGATGGCTACCTGTCTTTGATAATAGGTGCCTGCGTTCTGTCTCCCGTATCAGGCAGTGGTATAATAAGGTGAGCAATATTGAGGTTAGGCATCAGTCAAGTGCCAGGTAGGTGGGAGAGGAAATCAATCGACGAGACTGTGAAGCTACATCGACTGAGATGGTTAGGATATATGTTACGTATGCTCACTCATCGCCTTTATCGACTGACTGGCAATGTTAGCTGACACAGAGTCAGGTTGGAAAAGAGCTGCCAGTGGTAGCACTGTGCGTCAGTGGCACAGTGGTTAGGACTCTCGCCGACCATGCATATGGTCCGAGGTTCGATCCCCTGCCGACGCACACCCGATATCTATGGTCGGCCTGCAAAATTTGGGCTACCGATATCCATGCTGAAAATTCCATACATGTACCAAAAATACAGTGTGAAATCAAGCTGTAAATCAAAAAAAAAGTTAAACCGAAACATGGCTTTATCAGTGAATCAATGAAATCCACAACAGTTACTTTAAAAGCAGTAACGTAGGGAGCTGTAGACTACCTGACTGGTTGGGGTCATCGGGACGGTTAGAACCAATGAAGGCTGGAGACAATCGAAGATATGGCTCGAAATCGTTCTCAGTGGCTGGTGCAGATGTCCTTGTGACTTATAATACCCAATAAAAGTATATTGTTCCTCCATGTTACTATTCTTTTTGCCTCATATCTCTCTTTACTGTCTGTATTTTGCGTTTCTTCTTACTTCCTTCTTCTTCTCTGGCTTTTGTGTGCCAAGTGAAGTGTGGCGACTCGAACTGCTGCACATTGGTGCAAAGTTCTGTGTTGAAACCAGTCAGTCAGTCAGTCAGTCACTTATCTACTGCACACATATGAGGCGATAGGCACTTGACCTATTAGACCTAAACTATGCATTTAAAAGGAATTCATACAGCCATTATTCCTCCCTTGTTGGCCTATTTTAAGACCTAACCAACTGATGACGTCATCACCACCGATTACTTATAGTTTTCAACCCTTCCTCGCTTATCCTTCCCCCTGATCTCATCACATCTTCAGTAAAAGTGTATTTCATTTACTTCCCTGACAATATAGCATTTTTTTGTGCATCGGTGGCATAGAGGTTAGGACGCTCGTCGACCATGCATATAGTCCGCGGTTCGATCCCCGGCCGACACACTCCTCCCTTACCTCTCGCTAAGCCAGAAATAATCCTGGTAAAGAGGAAAGGTTCGGCATGAGGCCGGCTATCAACCCCATTCTGTGAAAATAATCACCATTGCTACAGAAACTTCAAGCCACTAGCTTGAAGCCCTATGTTCCACTGGAGAATGTGAAGGAAAAAATTGCTCGATTTGTTTTTCTTAGTCTTCATTGACTACTACGTCTACCTGAACACATTTGTCGTGCAGTTTTTCGTTATTCTTGTTAAAACAGATCGCCTCAGTTTTTCATCCTTATTATGGATAGAACCATGATTATTATTATTATTATCATTACTATTATTATGACTGATTGCATAATTTATATGCACAATCGCATTATCCTATAGATAAAACACCATGAGAATTGGTTAATATTTGAATATTTATTTGTAAAGTTATGTTGGCATATTAGAGTTAAGCCTGATGAGATCTGATTGAAAACACAATGCCACTGTTCGCTGAAATGTGTGTTGCTCTAAATGGGATCTGTATGATAAGCATGCTGGGTTGAATGTAATTACAAAATATTGAGATCTGTTAGACGATGATAGTGATCAGTCATAATAGATTCATACAATATAGGGAAAAGAAATTGACAAGTCAGTCTAATTTTCAAGAACTAGTATGTAGGGATTCTATTTATTTCAGGTTAGACCACGAATTGATATCAGTTAGTGGACCATTGAAAACGATCACAAGGGAGTACTGGACAACTAACTGTTTCATCGGCCTAGTTTGATATTCTTCAACGGTATACACCCACCGACAGATTACGAACCCAGGACCTTCTGGCTAAAAGGCGAGCTAGCTCGTAGACCATTCATCAGCCACTGGGACACAATCCGATGGTTAACCCATGAATTCCAACTTTTGATAATTCATGAAGTAGCGCAACTACTAACTAATGGTCATGATTGGTTAGTATTTGTCCTCACACACGAACTGCTGTTACCCCCCACCCCCCTGCACTGGTCACAACTTCCCACTAGAACACCAGGTAACTACCGACCTGAATAGGGAAGATTGTTGGTGAACATATGCGATTGATATTCAAGTTTTACTTTGCAGGCATTTAATTGGTCGAGTGTGAGGACAAATACCCTTCAGAAATGATGTTGGCTAGTGGTGGTGCTGAATAAGTGGAAATCGGAAATCACGGTCCATTGAATCAGGTCTCAGTGGTCTGCGAGCTCACTTCGTAACCGGAAGGTCAGGGGCTTGATCCTTGATGAGTGTGCAATAATTTGTGCTCAAAACGTCATCAATTAATATTACTGTACAACACTGCGTGATTTAACAAAATAAAATCTCATCTATCTATAATGGAGTTATACTCTACCACAGTGTCCAAGTTTTATACATACATCTGCGCTAGTCATTGAGAACGATGAGTTTGAGCCATATCACCAATCGACTCCAGCCGCCATTGGTTCTTACCTTCCCGATGTCCCCGTCCAGCCAGGAATTCTACACATCCCTAAATGACTTACTCAAACTAACTGTTATGGATTTCATTGACTGATCCGGCTAAGTTTTTGTTTGACCATCATCACTACCTCTTATACAACCTAATCGATCCTATGTCAGCGACTAATATTTCCTGTTCGTTGCGTAAGGCTGCGGTTGGTTAGGCTAGACATGAGTAACGCATGTCCTTACAACATCTCCCTCAATCAATGTAACTTCACAACCACCTTGTCGATTGATTTCCCCTCCTCACCTAGCTACTCGACGCCTAACCTCAACATTGCTCACCTTGTTAAACCCCTACACACGGGAGATAGAACGCAAACACCTAAGATGAAAGACAGCTAGCTGGCCTTTTCATGTCTTCCACTTTCAATGGTCATGTCTCACAACCATAAAGGAGGACGGAACCAAAATTACTCAGATCACTACAATGTGACGTGCTTGATACCATATCAATGATAATCAAGAAAGCAAGTATAAATGTGGTGAGATCAGGCCGTGAGAAAATATGTACAAGGCTGATTCAACAACCAATCACAGCAGACTTAACGTGGCAAAATATGATTCGCAGATACAGAACTCTATTTTTCGAGGAATCCCGAAACAACCAATCAGAAGCCTGCGCTTGTCTACTTGCATAAGCTATAATAATGAATGTGAAATATATATAAATACGTGTTGATTTTCATAATAAAACGATCTGTTGCCTGGCCCTTGTCTTCTGTTGTTACATAAATAAGTAAAACTATTTACCACTTATTGATTGAGATGAGCTGAGTCAAACCAGGTACACCGCTGATGGGGGTCGACCCTGAACGAGCGGAAACACCTATGTGTTGTTTCAACCACTTAGATCTGACTAGTTAAAACACTAATGGATGATGTGAGTAGTATATAACTAGTTACTTATCTCAATTAATCAGTAATATATAGTTTCTTTGCGCATATAGGTTATATAAGAGACATTATATTGTTCCCTTGAGTTGTTCCATGTGGAACATACGTATTGAACACCATATTTGCGTTTCCTCTTGTTGTTTGTAGTATTTTTCAGCTGGCTCCACAACTACCCATAAAGCTGCCATGTCTTCCTCCCACGATCTCTTCCATTTCACCATCAGATCCACATCCAACTAGCCATTTCCCATTCGAGTTCCACTTGAGGACTCGCCTGGCGTTTGGTATCTGCCACTTAACAGTCTTCACCAGCTCCATTTCCATCGGTATATTTGTAAAGTAATAGATTGTTAGCTGATTCGTTGCTTCCCAGCGTGTTCCTTATTGCTTATCCCTTCAAGTCAGCCGTGTGATCTTCAATATGTTTGATTACGAAGTGCACAGTTATTGATAAAAAATTTGCAACAGAGCCTATAGGAAATGCTATTTGGTGATGTGTGAACCATAAATCTTCAAACCATACAGAAACACTGACTAACTTGACACTAGTGTCGGGAATTCAGATCTCATTCCCCAATGCTGAGAGCAATAGATGTCTTCCTAGGTGAAGACTCTGACAAAATAGAGTAGAGTCTTCTGTCTGTCTGTTTTCGATATAGAATTTTGCACATATGTGCACCAGTTCAAGTCGCCACACTCCGTGTAGCACGCGAAGCAAGAGAAGAAAGTACAAGAAAAGCATAATAGAAACAGTGAGCAGAGGTGTGAGACAAAGGAGTAATAAAGAAAAACAAAACAGTTTCATTGGAGATCATAAGTCACAAGGAGTGGATGCATCTGAGCCACTGAGAACGATTTTGAGCCATGTCACCAATTGTTTCCAACCATAGATTTTTACCGTCCCGAAGACCCCAGCCCGGAAGTCTTCTGAACACCTTGAGCCGCAATCTACGCATGTTTAGCATGTGATTCGCTCCCTTTGTCAAATGTAAGATGATGCCAGAGGACTGGACTACATTGACTCCTAGCTTAGAAATAGGGAGTGAAATGATAGTGTTGACCACTCCACTTATTTGGGAAGTTACATCATCCAATGCCAGTGGATTGATTGCTGACGAAATCTCTGCACGGATACAGAAAGCTAGTTTCGCATATGCCAGTTTACGCCGTCTCTGGCGTAGAAGTGATATCCGACCTAAGGACGTGTGTACTGCTCGGCAGTCCGCCCCGCCCTGTTATTATTATTATTATTTAAGACTGTGAAACGTGGCCATTTGAAAGTGAAAGACTTGAGAAGCCTGGCTGCCTGTCTTTGATGATACGTGCCTGCGATCTATTTCCCAGGTGAAGTGGTATAGTAGGGTGGGCAATATTCAGGTTAGGTGTCGGTCAACCACTAAGTATCGAGGGGAAATCAATAGACGAGGCTGTGAAGTTACACCTATTGAGGTGGTTAGGAAATGTGCCACGTATTCCCAGTCATCGCCTTCTTCGAATGATTGGCATTGTTAGCTGACATAGGGTAAGGCTGGAAAAGAGCTAGCACGTAGTGGTCAAATTAAAACATGATCGGATCAATCAATGAAATCCACAACAGTTAGTTTAAGCCAGTCAAGTAGGGAGGGTGGTGTAGACTTCCTGACTGGTTGGGATCCTCGGGATGATAAGAAACAACAATGAAACTAAATTGTTCCTTGTGATTACTATTCCTTTTTGTCTCATATCCCTGTCTACTGTCTCTATTTTGCATTTCTTCTACTTTATTCTCTTGCTTTGTGTGCTATAAGGAGGGAATGTGGCGAGTCGAACTGATGCACATCGGTGCAAAGTTCTATGTTGAAATCACTGTTTAATATACATATAAATATTTTTTTTGTGTAATAATAAAATTTCCATCAACTGAATGCTACTCACTTTTAATTTAACTTGAGAATTTTGATAAATTGTTGAATTCATTAATCTTAACTTTGCTTTATACTCTTCTATATTATTAATATGATAAGAAACACTAGGAGGAGCTGTAGCAACAGCGACAGAAGCAGCGGAAGTAGTCGACATTGTATCACTTCCACAGCTAGTCGATGAACCACTTGACGCTAAAAACACTGGGGATAATTTCACACGACTCCAATATTCAAATGTGAGTAGTATATTAAACAAGACGATCATTTGTACATTATTGAAACAATCAATTCTATTCAATAGTATGTCTAGAAGTGATTGTAAAATATACAAGATATCTATAAGATTCAAGGAATTCATTCTTATTAACTCGATGAACATGCCAATCAGTAGATACGGAAGAAGAATTCGATAGTCTGTCGATCTCGATGTCGACGATGATGATGATGACAATAGAGGATTCTCAGAGAATTGTTCAAGGATAGATAAAAATTGACGTAATCTCTGCTGTTCTTCATCAGATGATAAGGATGTCTCCAGTGTTGCTGGCGGTAGCGGCTGCGACGGCGATGATGAGTCGATTAGACTATGAAGAAGACTTTCATTCAACGTTGACCATAAGGATGACAATAATGCTGATGGTGTTGATGATATTGTGGACATTTGTTTAAATAGAATAAATAAACTACGTAGACATAATTTAAAGTGTTTACAAGAGAATATTGATTGGATAAGAGTGTTTAACGTTTGAGATTCAAGTCTCCAAAACTGGCAATCATTATTATCAACTGTTCCTCTATTCTCACTACCCATAGCTGATGTATTTACTGTCTGTAAAGATAAAATAACAAATGCACTGACTGGATTTAACATTGAACATGATGACCTTGAGGTAGTTGTTGTTTTACTGTTGTGCTGATTTTTTGTTTTTCTGCTTTCATCATTTAAAGCGTATAACTTAAACCAAACTTGGTTAATACTCTCTTTGATTAGTGATGAATTTATTGAATTACACGAAAAGTGATTATCATAAATAATTGTGCCTGGTAGCAACAGTCGAAGTAACAGTTCAACAGCCCAATGGATCAAATCTGTAATCATTGATAAATTAGCATCACAGTTCAATGGTGATGACGTCGAAGATGAGGAAGTGGAAATATTTTCTACACTATATGTACGACGAGATAATTCGGATTGATTGTTTGATTGTGCTTGTACACCACTTGATTTAATCCGTAACCGACGTTGACTACTGGTGGTGAGTAAAGCTGAGAGAAATTGATCGGTTAAATTGTATGCCAGTAAGTTAACTGAAGATTTTGCAGATTGGTATATATTTGACGCCTGAAATAACAATAGTAATAAGGAAACAAACCGAGAGATTATTTTATATACCAAAACTCAATGATACACGAGAGGAAATCAATCACTCCATTAAGGATAAGATTTTATTTTGATAAACTCTCACAGTGTAGTGTGTTATAATACAGTAATATTAACTGATGACCACCCTTCGAGTACAAATTATTGACAATCATAGTCATATCAAGGAACTAATCAAACAACTTTTTCCCTTCATTTATATACATGAGTGGAAATTGATGATTAGACATCTGAATAAAGACAGACATTCAGTTATCAGGTGGGCAAGGAAAGACTTCTGATAACTGCTTTTTTCTGAACACATAAATCTGGTTTGGTTCAAGCGTTTCATAGAATGCATGAAGAGACTTATACAATTGGTGGATGGTGGCTAGCAGTGGAATCCAGGATAAAGCGCATTACGTCCTATTTGGGACTCGTCAGCTAGCGGATATACCTGCATTTCTCAGTGAGTGATGATGTTCCCACCAACGAGGCTCGAACCCAGTACCCATAGTTTCAAACGCCAAAGCGTTATCCACTAGACCACTTGGGCCACGAGAGCCACCTCTTGTGCAACGAGTCATATTAATTATTGAATTGAATTTTTGATTTTCCCGTCGATTGATTGGACCGAAGTGCTCGGTCTCAGACTTGTCTGTCTGTCTGTCTGTTTTCGGCATAGAACTTTGCACATATGTGCACCAGTTCAAGTCGCCACACTCCGTGTAGCACGCGAAGCAAGAGAAGAAAGTACAAGAAAAGCGTAATAGAGACAGTGAGGAGAGGTGTGAGACAAAGGAGGAGTAATAACGAAAAACAAAACAGTTTCATTGGAGATCATAAGTCACAAGGAGTGGATGCATCTGCGCCACTGAGAACGATTTTGAGCCATGTCACCAATTGTTTCCAGCCATCATTGGTTTTTATCGTCCCGAGAACCCCAACCAGTCAGGAAGTCTACACCTTCCTACGTGGCTAAGACCAACTGTTGTGGATTTCATTGACTGATGCCAAGTTTTTGTTTGACCGCCGCTAGCTTTTTTCCAGCCTGACCCTATATCCGCTAACATTGCCCGTTATTCGAGGAAGGCGATGGCTTGGCATACGTAACACATGTCCTAACCATCTCAGTCTTTGTAACTTCACGACTTCGTCGATTGATTTCCCCTGTTTACCTAGAACTCGACGCCTAACTTCAATGTTGCTCACCTTATAATGCCACTTTACAGACTTATTAGTATTTTAATGTTAAGCAACTCCAACTGATAAATGAGTATTAGGCGTTGAATTGGAATCAAGTTTTGTTTCTTCTAATGGTGTTTTATGAACTTTTTTTAACACAGTATTTAATGTACTATGTACGAAAACACCTCAGGATAGCTCGTTTTCCTCATGCATCCCTCAAAATGACGATGCTGACAAATTACAGTGTCTTTTGAATACTTTGAACCTTAAGGAAGCTGTTTTTATTTCTAACTTGTTTACAATTTATATAATTTTGTGTGAATACCATCAAAGTCTTTATGAAAGTGTTTAAGATTGACTGAATTTTACTCATGTTATGTTTATCATTTTATTAAGTGTATTCCTATAGTTTGGTTTGTAAGGATTAGTTTTGTGTTTTTACGAGTTGATCAGGGATGATTGATATCAGTTAGAGAACCATTGAAAACTAGTCACAGGGAGTACTGGACAGTCAGCTGTTTCATCCCAATAGTTTGGAAATCATCGGTAGTAGGCACACACCACAGGGGGTTCGAACCCAGGACCTTGCGGTTACAAGGCAAGCTGACTTGTATACGATTCAGCTACTAGGACCCGATTCAATAGCTCATATATATATATATATATATATATATATATATAACCTTTACATTCTGAGTGGAACATACGGCTTCATGATAGAGTCTAACTTCATTATGTATTGAAATTTTGTTTTGATAAACTCTCACAGTGTAGTGTGTTATACAGTAGTATTAACTGATGACCACCTTTTGAGAACAAATTATATTGCTGCTCATAATCATATCCAAGGCACCACTCACATAACTTTCTTGCTTCATTTATATACATGAATGAAATTGATGATTAGACATTTGATTGAATAAAAATCAATATAGGATAATGTACATCCAGAAATAATAATAACATGACTGTTATCAATAAAAATACAATCAGATGGGAAACTTTATGGTCAAAATAAGTAACTTGTTAGAATATCATAATGTGAATTAAATACGTTGACATTTGAAAAAAAAATTAAATTTGTAAAATCTCAGCGAGATTGAAATGAGTAATTCCAACGTTTCCTACATTCGGAAATCACCCCGCCGAACTTCTTCACGGAAATTAATCGAAATTAGCATGACAGAGGTTTATATGCAGAAAAGGAACATCTCTTGTTTCTAATTTCTTTGTCCAGTCATATGAGTCATGAAACAGGCATCAACAAGTATAATAACCAAAATTGTATGAGTTGTGATCAAAATTTGACCTCAGACTTACAAATATTGATCTACCTTTGTTAAACACTTTAAACACAGTGTGTATGTGTGTGTGTGTGTGTGCGGATAAACAGTTGTAAAACAATGTCTTAACGTCTCCATAAGTAGATATAGACAGTCGGGAACTTTGACCAAGTATTATTAGTTAGTGATACATATCCATTCTTATTTATTAATCAGGATTTCCTATGCGTCATCTAACGAGATCACACCTTCATGTCTGTTCAAACTGTTAGTATCTAGAATTTTATGATTAGACTTATTTTCAAAACTATGGTGTTTAGGATTAGAGTTTAGTTGAAGCACCCTGTCAAACTTATCACTTTGTCTTCTTTCTGAAGATTGAGCTGCTTTATTCGACCTACTGGAGTTGTCAGGTGGCTCGACAACTACGGGTTTAGGATATGCGTTCTGTTCCAGACAACGGAGAGTGGAAACACGATGATTGTGCCAATTAGCATAGTTTCTTTGTTAATTTAATTCGATTGTAAAGTAATTCATCAAATGAACTGTCGTCAAAATTTGACAGAATAGTTCTAAAATTTTGTTTATTATACTTGTGAATACTTATTTTATGACTCATGATGGGACAAAGTTTTTAAAAACAAGAGATGTTTCTTATATATATAAACTTCTGTTATGTTAATTTCGATTAATTTCCCTGAAGAAGTTCGAACCAGATTGCCAAACGAAACGTTGGAATCAGTCATTTCAATCTCGCTGACATTTTACAAATATAATTTTTTACAAATATCTACTTCTCACTCGGCGCCCAAATATTTTAGAACTATTCTGTCAAATCTTGACTACAGTTGATTTGAATTAAATACGCCTTAACATTATTTAATATCCTCTTCCGATTTGACTAACTGGTGGTAATATGTTCCATATCTCTGGTATTTGCGTTGAGTCATTCCTATTGCATGTATTGTGTTGGGTGTGTAGACTCGATGAACCAGCATTCAGTAATCAACCTCTCTCTCCGCCTACATTGATTGCTTCTTAGAATTTTAACCCTCTCCCATCATATTGTGTGTCAATGCATGCATGCAGTGCAACTGCTGAGCTTCTTTCTCCAAATTACTTATCTTCTTGGGGTCAACCATTCTTCCTCTAGCTAAATTCTTATGTTCCGACAATCTGACAACCCGCAACCTACCAGTTTGACCTATTCAGTTGACTTGACTCACATTGATTGCAAGGTATTTTGTAAATTATATTATTTTGTCTAATTGGGTCAACATTCAGAGTCCTTTAAACTACAAAGCTTGTCCCTGCTTAAGTGAGTCTGTAAGCTTGGATGCCACCCTAATTCCTGCTTTATTAAGAATTCTACATATGGTCTCAGATGCCCCCTCCTTATATGGTATAAAACACTCGTCTTACTTTTCATCTGATTGATCAATAACACAGATAGACTGGGGATCCAGACAAAGGTGAAAGGCTGTCGAAGGTTAAGAAGTCAAGGTTAGCAAAGGTAAAATACAGGAAACTATGTATAAGAATAAAAGTAAGGTTGGAAGGACACAAGCTGTTTGAGGGACCATTGTTAGTTGAAATCATTTTTACTAGCGCGCGATGAATTTCAATGACAGTTCGTTGTTTTACTTCATTTGTTATGTGAGGGTTGAGATACTGCCCGGGCGCACAGACCGAAGCAGGTGGTTTTCTTAAGGGAACACCCCCTGAGCCTTTGACTTGGAGTCGAATCCGAAAGGCAGAGGAGCAGCGTCAGGAGCTGCATTCCCATGGTGTCCGGTGACCCATATGGGTTCATACGCCATTTGATCCGATTGGATACTGGAGCCCATGTACCCCATGGTAACTGCTTTTAGTTTAACCGCTATCCAAACAACCGTCCTGACATGGTAGGACCTGCAGGGACAGAGTCCCAGTCAGTTTAGCATGTTGGGTCATTACGGTATTCAAGCGCAACCCCCACGACAAGGTAGTAATTATCGGCCGGGGGTGCCTTGATGTGATTATGAGTGACAACAGTTTGTGCTCGAAACGTGGTCATCAGTTAATATTACTGTGTCACACTGTGTGATTTATCAAAATAAACTCTTATCTATAATGGAGTTATACTCTACTACCACAGTGCCCAAGTTTTATACTTATAGGAAACCAATCAATTGATAGAAGAGGCAGTCAAGACATGAGTCCTGGTGAAGAAGTACGACTACTCGCCATCAGTCGGGGGGGGGTAATCTAAAGACAGCTAATTGCCTTTATTGACCTCAGCAGAGTTAGCAGAAGTAACTAGGATCGAGAAAACAAGACAGGAATGTTTGATTACTCTGATATCAGTGTAGATATACCAAGTCGGGATCCTTTGATGGTTCAGGGACTACTGAAGGAATGAATCATAATAATAAGGCAAAGTTAAACTTTCAGAACCGCCAACTACCAATCAGCAAACGACCTTCAACAGACCAATCACATGAAAGAAGGATTTTTGATAAAGGGATAAGTATATTTATGGAAAAAAAAGCATAAAAATTGCATAAAACTGCTACACAGGGTATCTTTCTCTAGCATGTGACAGAAACATCTCTCAGTTTAGCATGGGAATGTCAACAGAAAAGTCACACCACATTCTGTGCATATATATTCAACCAAATGACTACAAATGAGATCCTTTTGTGATCCATTTATAGCCCTAACCCCAATTTTCAATTTCCCCCGAAATCCTTCGACAGAATTTGTATGTGTTCTCGTAATAGGATCGACAAAATCACTGGAATGGTTCACTCTGTGATGAATATATCCAAGAGATGACAGCGAGTTACAACCTTTCCATTCATCCGTATGTATTATTGATCCCTGTTTCACAAGTCTAGTAATAATAGGTATTAAATTAGTTACCTTTTTATCTGGTATTCTCTCCACGTATCCTTTCCGAAAGGAGGTGTTATATAAACCAATCACCCAAATATTGTTCGCTCTCTCATGACCACGGTTGTAATTTTTTCTTCAGCAACACAGCTTCGTCCACGTGCACAACGATGACTTCTCTACGCAACAACGAAGTAATTTTCTCCATTGTCAATGATGCACTGTCTCTGCAGTGCTGGTACCACTGAACTGCTGAGACGAGGCTATCCTCGGTTTCAGCAGCTGCGGTTCTCACCGGCTGTTTTAAGATCCAGTAGTTGTAAATATACAAAATCTGCGTTTAGGCGAGATGGGACCCAGCAAAAAATGTTCCTACGAAATATTAAAATTATCAGCTTGCCTTCTCTAATACTAACTCGTCTCATACATATTCCACAACAATGTACATATCCATCAGTCGACCTGCTAAAGCTTTTTAAACTGATGACACCTCCCCGTTGAACAAATCCTCTCCTTCCTAAGCAACGCCAAATCCAGGCAATACTGCAAAACATTATCCTCCTCGAGTTACAAGCGTAACTTCGTCAGAGCACACATTTGAAACGAATCAAGCGTTATACAACACTGAACTAACGTTCATGAATCTCATTGGACCATTCGACGTCGTTCGCTGACTGGCAGTCAGTGGTGCTTAAAGTTTAACTTGGCCAATAATAAATACTAAATTTTAATATATATATACATATATATATATATATATATATATATATATATATATATATATATATATATAAACACTTGGTTTAACACTAGGTCTACTTGGGTTTAATATTTATCAATAAGTACTCGAAAACGAGTTGATTAACTACGCTTAAGTATAAAACACAAAATAATCGAGCAAAGAATATCCCCTTTTCGATAAATTCCTCCGCTTCTGGCTCTACAATTATATACATGTTTATATACACAGAATATTCAAGGTTGGTAGTTAATAACAATATCGGGTGTTTTTTAAATAATATCGATTTGTAAAGTATGATCACAATGGAATCACACAGTTCACTAAAAATACTTAAATTATAATAGTAATAAAGATATAATAGCGAGTAGAATATCAACTAAAATTAGGAAATTTCCACAAAAATTGAGAATCATTCAAACCTAGATGGCCAAGGTAAGGACAGCGTCTGAACTAACTTCTTTTGGACGCACAAATTAGGCTTTTTAATGTGGATCCCAACAGCCTCAGCAATATTTAGTAATCGAACTCTTAAGGCGAAGTTGAGATTTGTTGGTATCCGGTAAATAACTCTAAAAGCCTGGTTAACATCAATCTTATGTTCTGTATCCACAAGATGAGCCAAATAGCGCTACGAATAGATTTTGTTTGGCCTTTGCTTAACCAGGTAGAGTGATGTTCGGAAATTCGACGAGAAACACGCCTAATTGTGCGGCCTATGTAACTGGCTCCACAGGAGCAGTTAAATTGGTAGATACACATGGATGAGGCGAAATTAGGCAGTTTGTCTTTTACTCCCGAACGCAGAAGAGGAGTGGTCTTAAAGATACAACGTAATTCAGCAGCAGGGAATGCTCGTTTTACCGCATTTCTAATACGCTGTGTTAGTATCTCGCTAGTGTTGTCCCCAAGGAACTGCATCTGAAAGAATAAGGCCTTTTTTGGAACTGTTGGTAACTTCGGCTGCTTTGGTTTCAAATTCATATTCTTATCAATAAACTTTTCAGGATAACCATTCTCACTTAGCAACCGTTTAATATTATTCAGTTCTTCATCAAGACATTCGTCCGAGCAAATCGCTCTTGCTCTGTGAACCAGGCACTTTATCAAATTGCGTTTGTATTTCAAGGGCACAAAACTGAGAAAATGTGTGTACTGGCCCGTTGATGTAGGTTTTCTATAAACACTTCTTCTTATTGAGCCATCCTCTTTTCTGGTCATAAAAACGTCTAAAAATGGAATACTAGATTCCTTTTCTGTCTCGATGGTAAAATTTATTGCAGGATGTACCTCGTTAAATTTATCCAGGATGCTCTTTGCTTCCTTCTCGTTTTTCATAATCAAAAAAGTATCATCCATGTACCGACAATAAAATTCGAGTTCACTAATAACATCCTTCAGAGGCCCATTTTCTAGTTTCGCAAGGAAAATGTCGGCTAGAATGGGTCCTAGTGGTGACCCCATTGCCACACCGTCAATTTGTCTATATAGTTCCTTATTAAATAAAAAGTGGACATTCATTGTACATTTCAAGAGAAGCTCTTTCACAAATGATATAGGAATGCCGACATCGATGTTTCGTCGTTTAAGTTCTTCGCATACAAAATCCACTGTTTCCATAAGTGGTACATTGGTGAATAAGGAAGATACGTCAAATGATATCATGAATTTATTGTCGACACTTAAATCTTTTATCCTTTCCACAAATCCGAAAGTATCCTTTACACTGTGTTTCACTAACTCCGTATGAAGCGGCTGTAAGATTTCGACTAGCCATTTGGCTACAGGATGGTATGGCGAATTTAACATATCTAACACTGGTCGAAGCGGTACACCATCTTTGTGCACTTTAGGCGAACCATATAGTCTTGGTGTAAAAGTTCCAGTGGGTTTAAGAGATGTATACTGACCCTGTGAGATGAACCCTTGTTGTTTCAGTCGCTTCAATGTTTCCGTTAGCTGTTTCTCTGTCCTTTCAATCGGATCTAGAGAAGAGGAAATTTTTTGGAATTTTCGATTATCATTGAGAATGGTATTCATCTTCTCGAAGTAATCCGTTTTGTTCATGATAACCACTCCTGAACCCTTATCCGGTTTTGTTATTATTATATTTTCATTTTTGCGTAGGTTATCCAGAGCTTCTCTGTGTTTCTTTCTCGGTTAAGATACTATACAAATTGCGTTTACTGTTTAGGTGCGTCCAAAAGAAGTTAGTTCAAACGCTGTCCTTACCGCTTGGCCATCTAGGTTTGAATGATTCTCAATTTTTGTGGAAATTTCCTAATTTTAGTTGATATTCTATTCGCTATTATATTTTTATTACTATTATAATTTAAGTATTTTTAGTGAACTGCGGTGATTCCATTGTGATCATACTTTACAAATCGATATTATTTAAAAAGCACGCCAATATTGTTATTGACTACTAATCTAGAATTTTCTATGTATATAAACATATGTATATATAATTGTAGAGCCAGAAGCGGAGGAATTTATCGAAAAGGGGATATTCTTTGCTCGATTATTTTGTGTTTTATAGATATCTGAATGAATATTTTTGCTATACGCTTAAGCAGTTTGAACGGACACAATAATCTACACTTTTTCATAACCTTCCGACATACCATTAACAATGTGTAGTCGGGTCATGCCTTTCAGGCAACCATCTAATGTCGTCTAAAGATAACATTATTTGTCGAGGAGACCTAATGATAAGAAGTACGTTGAACACGTGTCGAAGCTACTACCTTAGGCGATAATGACTTAGAGTCATATCTACCGTTGATCCGCTGCTTTAGTCGCATAAAAAATCTTTTATCTCCTCAAAATTATCCGATATCTGTGCTCTCACTGTATATGAATAACTCTCAACAAAGACACCTAAGATTAGAAGCATGTGAGCACTAAGTATTTTACCTTGAGTTGCATTATCTTACCATTGTAAAGTAGGTTAGAGGATATTATTATTATTATTGTTCCCTTTAGTTCCTGGAGGAACATAGGGCTTCAGCCGCTCACGTCTCTATCCATTGCGTTCGGTTCCCTGCCAACGTTTTCACCTAGCTCCACGTCTGCTCACATGCTTTCATCTCCTCTTCACATGACCTCCTCCACTCCATGTCAGCCTCGCACTGATGACCAACTTAACTCGCCGCTTTCCGTTCGGGTTTCATTCGAGCGATGGACTGGCCATGTGATGCCACTCACTTGATGGTTTGTTTTCTCAGAGTATGACCGCCAATCCACCTACCTCTACTTTTTCTTGCATCTTTTGTTGCACAATTTGTTTCTGTTGGGTTGGTTTGTTCATTGCCAGAGATCCCTCTCTGTTGCTGATCTTTTCTGGATACTAGGCCTATGTAAAAACATTTTCTTTTGACAAAATGTTGAACACCTCTCCCCAATATCATATAGACAAGCTGGATGAGTCTTTTGCGTCTATGCTAAGGCATTTATTCATATCTTTTGAAATAAGTGAAGTGGCCAATGTACATTTGACTATAAAGTCTCCAAATCTGGGATCCGTAAGGACTCATCCTAAGGGGTTGTGGGGGGGGGGGCGTTTCAGAAGCACAATCTTTAACTTAACAGTTGCTACGCTACATAATGGCATCAGTGGTTTAGTGGTAGAATGCTCACCAACAACGTCTCATGCGGTACGGAGTTGAAATCGCGACCGACGCACTACTAAACCTCGCTAGGCTGGGTAGTAAACCTAGGAAAGAGGAAAGGATGGGGGGTGGGGGTGTGAGACTTTAGAGTTTGAAGCCAGAAGCCTTATATATATATCCCACTTGGGACGCAAAAGCAACTAAGAAAGAAGAACTCTTCACAAAAACAAATAGTTTTAAAACAATAAAAGTTATTTGACTAAATAATATAACTCACTCACCAGTATAGGATTAATTAATCGGTATATATTAAAATGAGGCATATTTGATATATGTTTATCAACAATTTCACATAGTCCTAAAGCCATGTTTAAGTGTAAGGGGAAAGGAATGAATGGTTCACCGGATTGCTATAGAGAAAGGAAAAAAAATGAAAATGTATTTGGGTGAATATATGATCCAATAAAAATATTAATTAAGTATAAAATTTATATATTTGGTGATTCGATGCTGTCAAATGTGAGATAATGCTGCAGGACTGGACTGCACCAATTCTTAGCTTGGTAGTGGGCGTCGAGGTGGGAAGGGTGGGGCAGAATTGTTGAGTGAGATGACAACTTCATCAACCCCAATGAACTGCTTGTTGACGAAATCTCAGTAAGGATGCAAAAGGTTCATCTGGATTTCATCAACTTAATTTATCTCTGGCATAGACGTGATTTCCGGCTATCGATCAGAGGACACATGTAATGAGCAGTGATTCCTTTCATCCACCTCCTTTATGACTGTGGGACATGGCCATTGAAAGCGGAAGATACCAAAAGGTGGGCTATCTTTGAATTTGTTGGAGGATTTCATCGTGAGCTGACATCAGTTAGAGAACCATTGGAAAACCTGTCAGGGAGTACTGCCAGACAGTAGTTTCGTCAGCCTAGTTTGAGACTGTCTCTTCATCAGTACGCACCCACCCCGCTGAGGTTCGAACCCAGGACCTTCTGTTTACAAGGACAGTGAGCTCGTAGACCAATAAACCACTGGGACGCGATTCGATGGCCAGCCCATGAATTCTAACTTCTATCAATTCACGACATAGCACAACCATTTCTCAATGACTTCTTCGAAGAGTTACTGCCTTACCTTTAACCTGCTGCACCCTACCGGTCACGGCTTTCCAATAGAACCCCAGGTAACTGCCTAAATAGAGCCAGTCGCTAGGAAGCCATCAGATCAATTTTCAAGCAGTGGTTTTTGTACGGTTTGGTTTCAATGGTTGGACGATTTCATGATGAGCTGACATCAGTTAGAGAACCATTGGAAAACCACCATCTGGGAGTACTTGACACCAGTCTCGTCAGCCTAGTTTGAGACTGTTTCTTCATCAGTACGCACCCACCCTGCAGGAGTTTCGAACCTAGGACCATCTGGTTACAAGGCCAGTGGGCTTGTAGACCGATAAGCCACTGGGACCGGATCTCCAATGGCCAGCCAATGAATTCCAACTTGTTTATAGTCTTTGTATTAACACCCAATCATCTTTCTAAACGTTCTCTCGTATATTACGTAATCTCCAATCATCGTCTTAGTTACAATTTCATAACTCCTCATTATTGTGAAATATTTCCATGATGTAAACAATATTCCAAACTAATTTATTTTTATTTTATATTCTTTGTTTTTTTTGTTATAATTGGCATACTGAATGTAGACAAAAATACAAAAATAATTATATAAGGTATGTATTTGCGATTAGACAGTTAATTGAATGAATTTACCGCACAAAGACTGACTGACTGACTGGCTGACTGGTTTCAACGTAGAACTTTGCACAGGTGTGAACCAGTTCGAGTTGCCACACTCTCTGCATGTACCACACAAAGCCTCCAAAGCCTCAGGATGGTCGAGGGTGGGTGTCTCGTGCTGCGGGTTGGCCAACCCTCCGTACACCTCTTGAAATGCTCCCATATGACCGGCGTCTTACATAGCCTCTCCTGAGGAAGTCCTACTCACTGCCTTCACGTGGCGGAGGTGTTTTTCACCGAAGTGAGAGGGCAAAAGCGGATGCCCGGCGCTCTCCACCGGGTTGACTGTCCATTGGATGACGGTCTAGGGGAGATGGCTAAACCCTAATTCCAAACCTCCAAAGACTGGCGTATGAAGCTCACCGGCAGACGTATGGACAAAGGGCTTATTGGATGCCCTGGATGTCTGGCCCCATTCAAAAAGGCGTATGAACCGAACTCCGGTCACCGGCTGCTGCCAATGGATAGTGAACTCCCTACCCCACTCCTACTGCCTTGTAGGTCACACTTGGTTGTGTAAAGGCTAGAGCTGCACTCTCAAACAAAGGCCGAGCGATCCTGGGGACACCACTCGTACCCAATTCCCATGAAACTTCATGGTTCGTGAAGCCAGCTCATCCTCCCGTAGGAGATAGCCGAAGTAAAGTAAAGTAAGTACCACACAAAGCAAGAGAAGAGAATAGAGAGTGAGATTCAAAAGAAAGTGAGATAATAAACAGAAGTGTGAGGAAGGGAAAAAGAAAAGTAATATGGAAGAACAATAAAAACTTTTTGGGATATGACTAGCCAATTTACAAAGAGTGAATGCATCTGCACCAGTCATCGAGAACGATTTCAAACTATGTCACCGATTGTCTATAGCCTTCATTGGTTCTTACCATCCTGAAGGCTCTAAATCACGAAGTCTACACCTCTCTCCCTATGTGTGTGTGTGTGTGGCTTAAACTAACTGTTGTGGATCTCAATGACTGATGAAGCCACGTTTCGGTTTGGCCACCACCACTATTTCTCTCCCGACCTGATCAGTCCTATGTCTGAGGCTAACATCCCCCCCCCCGTCCAAGAAGACGATGATTGGCTAGGCTAGGCATGCGTAACACATGTTCTTACCATCTCTCTCAATCAATGTAACTTCACAACCACCTCGTCGATTGATTTCCCCTCCCAACTACCTAGCACACGACCGAAGCCTAATCTCAATATCGCAAAAAAAGAGAATTCTCTTCAGTGAAATGTTTGCTCTCATCTTTATGTTTTGATGATCATTCCACGAGTATTATAATCCTTCTTTAGTTAGATTTCGTACATATAGATAGGCACACGTAGGAGTGAAACTCAAGAGGCGTGTGAAGAGGTGGCGGGGAAACCATACTTCTCAGTTTTTTTGGAAATTTCGACCTAGATTTTTACTTTTAATAATGAGAAGAAAACACATAGTTCATCGAAGAGTCTCTCTTCGGCAGCGAATTCATTCACACTTAGCTGTACAATCGCAATTATACATACTCTTATTTTTGTATTTGTGTGCACATCAGGTTTGTCCGATAGGAATAAAAATAAGTTGGGGTTATTGTTGTCAAGACATTTCAAAAATGAGACGAGTAACCAAATCGTAACTAGGTGGGAGGATTGGTAAGAGGGTAGTGGCGATGTGTTCTCAAAAAGACATAGTTGCTCATGTCAATCAATACATAAAAGAATTTGAATAAGCGTAATACAAGTTACGTAATAAGATGAAAAGTTTATTGTATGAGTTGTAGTTAGGATGAACATGGACAAGACAGAGGCTATGAAAATAACCAACCAACCAACAACAACAGCAACATCCAGCACCAATCACCATCAACGGGAGAGATTTGAAAGAGGTTACTTTATTCACTTCACTTATCTAGGGAGCATTGTCTCAACTACAGGAAGTCGGAACGGACGAGGATGTCAAGTCGAGCGAGATTTGGGAAGGTGAGCGAGAAAAACATTCATCAACCAACTGAAACCAATCTGGAAATCTTCGTCACTCAGCCGGAATCAACAACAAAATTCAGTCAGATTTTCAATACACACAACGTCAAGTCAGTCAGCTCTTCTATACGGATCAGAAACTTGGCGGGCCGGTCACAAAGAATATTTCCAACAGCCTGTTGCAGACGTTACCTTTATCAACCAACAACTGTCTTCGCTGGATCTATACTGAAGATCAGATGGCCGGGCCGGAAAGAATCACCAACAACAAGGAACTATGGGAACAAACAAAACAAGAACCAACCGCCAACCAACAAATATGCAGGAGAAAGTGGAGATGGATTGGACACTCGTGGCTGAGGAGACCGCCGCTGGGTGACATCGCGCGCGCGTCAGGCCATTGCTCAAGTGGAACCCGAAAGGGAAGCGGCGAGTGGTTTGTCAGTGCAAGGGTGACATGGAGGAGATCGTGTGAAGAGGAGTTGAAACAGAATGGACTGACTAACATGGATGCAGGTGAAAAGTACAGCAGAAGACAGAAGGAAGTGGAGACGTGCACTTGAAGCTCTATGTTCCACTAGGAACCCAAAGGAACAATAATAATAATAGAAACAAAGGATAATGTGGAATTGTGTAAGAGTTCTCAAAATTACAAATGTTATAAGGAGTCAACATCGGAATAGATTCGGTGTGTGAATTTGTGAAATGTTGAGGTGGACTGTAGCGCAGGAGACCGTGGCCTGTATGGATGTGGAGTGTGTGAACTGTGTTAGAAACTTTTGAGTGATAGTGTGTGTATGTTGTTAAGATGTGGTACATATTGTGGAAGATGTGATGAGAATTGTGTTGGCGGCGAATTGTGGCTCGTTGGTCTACGGTGGTATGATACTCGCTTAGACATTGACTTGTCCCGGGTTCGAATCCCGGGCGAGACCAGGTTTTAACAAATGATAGTAATGCTTGCCAGTTAGTCTACAATTCATTCATTATTGTAGAAATACAACTGCGTAAACCAACTGGAAATATGTTTACAACTGAGGATGTTGAATTCTGGAATGCAGATAGAGGTATATCGACGACCAGCACTGCACTGAGGCATCGGGAATTACTCAATGAAATTTAAAATTGAAGTATACGAATAGTGGCGGCGGGGGAGTGTGAAATGAATTCAGACGTTAGAAAGATATTTAAATCCAGCAATGGATATGTATGAGTCGGCAATCCCAAAAGCAGAATTCTCGACAGACAGGTAAAAGGCATTGGGGTCAGATTTTGCGGCCGAAGCACTCTTGAACCATGATGCCTAGTTAACCCCAGTTAACCGGTAGTGAGCCTAGAAAAGAAGGGAGGTTGAACGTCAGGTTAACAATCTCAGCCCATTAAATATAAAAATAACAGTACCACTGCTACACTGAACCATTCAGAAGTTTGAATCTGTATGTGTTCTCCACTCAGAATCCCTGTCTGTCTGTTTTCAACATAGAACTCTACACATATGTGCGGCAATTCGAGTCGTCATAGTCCCTCTATATACCACACAAAGCAAGATAAGAAAGCCGGAGAAATGCATAATAGAGACAGTAAACAGAGGTGTGAGACAAAGGAAGAGTAATAACGAAGAACAAAACAGTTTCATTGGAAATCATAAGTCACAAGGAGTGGATGCATCTGCACTAGCCACTGAGAACGATTTTGAGCCATGTCACCAATTGTTTCCAACCATTGGTTTTTACCGTCCCGAGGATCCCAAACAGGAAGTCTAAACCTTCCTACGTGGATTCCATTGACTAATGAAGCCATGTTTTGGTTTGACCACCACGTGCTAGCTCTTTTCCAGCCTGATCCTATGTCAGCTAACATTGACCGTCGAGAAAGGCGATGACTAGGGATGCATGAGTAACACATGTCCTAACCATCTCAGCCGATGTAGCTTCACAGCATCGTCGATTGATTTCCCCTCCCACCTACCTAGCACTTGACTGACGCCTAACTTGAGTATTGCTCACCTTATTATACCACTTCACACGGGAGATAGCACGCAGGCACCTATGATCAAAGACAGCTAGTTGGCCTTTTCATGTCTTTCACTCTCAATGGCCAGGTCTCACAGCCAGTCATGAAGAAGGACGGAGCGGACTGATGAGCAGTACACACGCCCTTTGGTCGATAGTCGGATATCACGTCTATGCCAGAGACGGCATAAAAACTCAGAATCCCAAAGGAATGATACACAAAATCAGTTTGTATAAAGACTTACTACATCTTTATAAGCATCCCAACTGAAACGGGATAGCATTAAACGACACAATTTGTGCAGAAAAGCATCTGGCGGATATTGGCAAACAGAGTTGATTAAAAACTCCAATTCTTTTTTATCAGGCTGCATAATATGAAAAGGCGCTTCATTAACCAATTGATAGAGAATCTGAAATGTAAACGATAAATTATACAAAAATAGAATATTGCGATGAAACAATAGATCATGATATAGATCGATCAGATTCTGTTTTGGTTATATATGGGTGATCCTTGAACGAATGTCTTGATAATAACAGGATTAAGAACTGTGGTGAGAACTGTCTGCTAGCCTAAATGGGTAGATAGCAATTTACGTCAATGTTTACGTTTCGAATTGGGGTCATGAGATAAAACAATAACGAAGTCTAACCTTGAGGAACTCAACAACCAATCACAGCAGACTTTGCGTGGGCGGATACGATTCGCAGGTATATGGTCTGAGCATCAAAGAAACGGCCACAAAGGAATACAGAATAATAATAAGCACGAAACCTAGGTCGGAGGGAAGGCATCCTGACGACTGCCTCTAACCATCTAACAAAAATGCATAAAAGATAGATATATTAAATTTTTAGATTTCCCCGTCGATTGATTTGACCAAAGTACTCGGTCTCAGGTACACAGGTTGACTTCTTGTGCAGATGCTTCAGCGATGTCTGATCATGTAACTTGAAGTCAATTGGTAGATAATGACCAGCAGTGGAATCCACTGGGTCGAGCATTTCGTCCTATTTCGGACTCGTCGGTAACTGGATGTACTTGCATTCCCGTCCCCAGTGAGTCAGTGATGGTGTTTCCACCGAGGCTCGAACCCAGTGCTTATAGTTTTAAACGTCAAAGCACTATCCACTAGACCACTCGAGTCACCTCTTGTGCAACGGATCTTATTAATTATTCAACTGGAACTATGGGCACTGTGGGTTCCAGCCTCGGTCGGAATACCATGACTCACTGAAGAATACAGGTATATCCAGACGACGAGTCCAAAATAGGACGAAATGTGCATTCTGGATTCCATCGTCCACCAACTGAATTTTGAAAAAAGAAACAAAGATTGAAAAGAAAAAGACTTACTTCTTCCACTCGCATGTATTGGTCAGTAAGGCAGAGATTAAACTGAGTTATCCGATTGTGTAACTTTGTTGTCAATGTCGGATTAACTGTAATATCTAAAGCACTTTCTGTAATCAGACTGAATAATAAACGCAGGCATATTTGTGGATGTTTACTAGTGATCTCTGTCAACTGCTTGCAACCACATTTCGGTGATATAGGCAATAAGGAGAGAAGTGAAATACTTTTGGAACTGATTTTGCTGCCGCCAACACCACCGCCAGTTTTTACATTGATGACATCCTGTGGTCTATGATAAACAGATAACTAAGAAGAAGAAGAGGAAAAAGAACGAAAGCATTAAGGCAAGAAACAGTAATCCAAATCTCTACAAAAAATAAACAAACAATTCACGGTTTAAAATATCAGTCGTCAGCTCATTGATGGCCACTCCTGGATGGATTTCGTGAAGCTGCTGCGGTGACACATCGTGACCAGTGGGAACCAACATGTCATCAAAGTGAAGCGGATGCTCATCGAAAGGTATTATTTGAAGGTAGCGCTATACCACGAATTGATAAAGTGTGCCGCTGAAGAGTTCCGAATCGGGATGAAACACTTGTCGAGTGCTCCCAGTGACTTTTAATGATCTCTCTAACCTATGTTGGTTCATGACCAAATCTACATTGAAATTAATTCAGATCAATTATATGCTCAAATAATGGCAAAATATCTCATGGACGTATTCCAAAAGAATGGATATCCACGGAAATTCATCAAAAGACATCTACTCCCAAGCCACCAACTTACCCAATCAAAGACTCCCAAAGAAAACACATAGGAAATCGTCCTACCATATATAAAAGACATCTAAGAAATCAGTGCAAGATTCTTCAAACCTTTAGGAATGGATGTCGCACACAAACCAACGAAATCACTTCACTCAGCCAGTCAGCCCTGTGTCAACCAAAAGACTCAACAACGAAAGAAGATAAAGCCAACATCATCTGCAAAATAAGTTGCAACGATTGTAATAAACACAACAATGTCCAAAATGGACGTCCCTTTCGTCTACGTATCTATGATCATAAACTAGCCGTCAAAAGACATGGCATCCACTCCCTCATATCGCTGCATACAGACAACCATGCACATCAGTTCGACTCTTCATACATTAGGCAGAAAAAAACAACAAGAATGACAGAGAATTTTTAGAAGCTTGGTATTCCAGTGAATTGTCAGTCAGTAGACATAATGACATAGACAAAATTTACTGATCGATAAAAAGAAAATCTCACAAAGGATCAAACTTCAGGTCAAGGGAACAATCTTCGCCACCAACACAAGTAACCTAGTAGGTGTGAAAACACACAAAAACAACCAATCATGTTCAAGGTCACCCACCAGGAGAGACGACTAATGGTGAGCTAGTGGAGAAATCTAAAAGCTCACTTCAAATGGAAGTATGAGCTGAAGATGTCGCCTAGTAGGGCAATGAAAGCTTCGAAAATTAACTATCCAGCTAGCTCAGAGAACACAACTACATCAAAGAATACTTTTTCAGATATTGCTTTGATCTCAGGTCAAATGTCACCACCGACCGATATCAGTTAGACAACCATTGGGTGTAGGTGGAGATGTATATATCGAGAGTTGAAAGAAGTTAGGATTCCTGGATCATTGGATCTCATCCTAGTGCCTAATTAGTTACATTAAGGTACTGGGTTCGATCGCCGATCGGTACACGAGTTTGTACTGATGAAGAGTCCTAAAGTAGGGAGAAAAATATTCAGTGTCCGATGGTATTTAATGACTCTCCCTCTAGCTAACTGATGTACTAGGAGTTCATATTTCAAGGCAGCCTGAGAGTTACTAGCACACCAGTTTCATCCAAATCCATCATTCTTCAGATTTTCACATAGAAAGAGAAAATAGCGGTACATCTACACAGTAGGGCAGAACTTACTATACTACTGAGAAGTACAATCAGCTCGGGCACTGTGGTGGTAGAGTATAACTCCATGATAGATAAGATTTTATTTTGATAAATCACACAGAGTTGTACAGTAATATTAACTCATAAACACATTTTGAGCACAAATTATTGCTCAAAATCATATCAAGGCACTAGTCACACTCAGCTATAGCACTGCATGCATTAACACACAACCACATAATAGGGTGGGTGGGATAGAGTCAAAATTCTAAGAAGTAATATAGGTAGGTGGAGAGAGATAGGAGTCGATTACAGAATCCCTGGTTCATCGAGTCTACACCCAATACATGCAACAGAAATGACTCAACGCAAATTCCAGACATGTGGAAGATATTATTACCACCAGTGAGTCAAATCAGGGAGGATAATAAATAATCTTAAACTGTATTCTATTTCCATTCAATTCACGTACATCATCACAACATTCTAGCAAGTTACTAATTTATTTTGACTATAAAAACACTCGTCCTATTTCCCATCTGATTGTAATTGATCAATAACACCCATATTATTATTTCTGAATGTACATTATCCCAAGTTGATTTTTATTCAATCAAATGTCTAATCATCAATTCCACTCATGTATATAACTGAAGTAAAATGTTGTGTGAGCAGTGACTTGATATGATTATGAGCAGTAATAAATTGTGCTCGAAAGGCGGTCATCAATTAATATTACTGTACAACAATGTGTGATGAATCAAAATCAATTTTTATCCATAATGAAGCAAAATCAGATCGGAAATCTGAAAAATACCTATCAGTATAGTGAGGAGATATAACGCATTGATTTAAATACTCTGCTTTGAACTAATAGGTCCCGGGTTCGAATCTTGATCTACCTAATTTATCCAGGGCAACTGGATAGAACCATCAGCCTTTATACAATACGTGTGTGGCTCACATACTCTGTTACAAGAAACACGTGTTCAGGTTAACTGAGTTCAAACAATCAAACAAACTGATGCGACAGTACACAGAAAATATGAGATGTGAGAGGACAGGGAAGAGTCTATTAGTCAGGGTTGGTAGATTGATAGCAGTCGATCAGGTGTTCTAGGATAGAGCTTCGCATACACTGCCTTCTTTCTCCCCTCTAAAACCATGCTGCTTGAATATGTTCTCGTATCAACGTGGATAGCGTCCTCTGGTGACGGCCAATGTACCTTACTCCCCAATAGGGTTAGGTAAACTAATAGATGCACATGGAGGGGGCCAGACGAAGGAGCTTATTTTTTACAGAGATCGAGAATAAATTGCGGCTGGTGAACGTCATCTGTCATTTTGCTGCAAAGAACGTCCTCCTGACTGATTTAGAGAGACAGTATTTGAGCATATCTGAAGCTTGATCACCTTTGTATTCCAGGTTCATGAATAAGGTTTTCTTTGGAACTGAGTCGGTGACTAGTTTGGACAGCTTAGCGATACGATTGTACAGTTTGGTAATAAATTCGTTGTTGAAAAGAGTCTCTTCGCAAAATATTGTGTTTTCTTAGTGCTACAGCGAGAATTAGAATATGCAGATGACATAGTCCTGTTAGGGGAGGATTCTGAAAAAATGTAGAGTCTTCTGAACACCTTGAGCAGCAATCTTCGTATGTTTGGCATGCGATTCGCCCCTGCAAAATGTAAGATGCTGCTACAGGACTGCACCCCGTCAACCCCTAACTTAGTGATAGGGAGTGAAGTGATAGAACATGTTGACCACTTCACCTATTTGGGAAGTTGTATTAGCACCAACGGACTGATTGGCGATGAAATCTCAGCACGGATCCGAAAAGCTCGAGCTGCTTTCGCTGACTTACACCACCTCTGGCGTAGGCGTGACATCCGGTTATCAACCAAGGGACGTGTGTACTGCTCATCAGTTCGCTCCATCCTTCTCTATGGCTCTGAAACATGGCCAATACGAGTTGAAGACATGAAAAGGTTGACTGCTTTCGATCATAGATGTCTGCGATCTCTTTCTCACGTTACGTGGTTTAATAAGGTAAGTAATGTTGACGTTAGGCGTAGAGTGTTGGGCAGGCAAACAGGGAAAATCAATCGACGAGGCTATAAAGTTACATAGACTGAGATGGCTAGGTCACGTGCTGCGCATGCCTAACCACCGCCTCCCCCGACGGGCATTGCTAGCTGACATAGGTGAAGGTTGGAAAAGAGCCAGTGGTGGCCAAACAAAAACATGGCCTCATCAATCCATGAAATCCTTGACAGTTAAACTGAGTCGGTCAGGTAGGGAGATGCAAACTTCCGGGTTGGGGCCCTCGGGACTCTAGGAATCAATGGCTGGAGACAATAGGTGACATGGCTCAAAATCGTTGTCAATGGCCAGCGCAGATGTATTCAGTCTCTGTAATCTTTCGTATTCCTTTCTACCATTACCCATTCTGTTTCACTCTTATATTTGTCAAACTCTATTGATTCTCTTCACTCATCTTCTTGTCTACCTTGTGTGCCAATTGGAACGTGGCAACTCGAACTGCTGCACTTCGGTGCCAAGTTCTATGTTGAATCCAGACAGACAGACGGCGGGAATTATTAAATTATTCGCTGAATTAGACGGATTCAGAAAAAAAGGTCACATGAAAATTACAGGTCAAGTTAAAATCTCTCAAATTACAACGCAATCGATCACCTATGCAACAGTAACCTAAACAAAAAGATTATTCATCATGGATTTATTCAAAATAAGATCACATGAAAGCACGGATCACACTACAAGCAGATACATATTATGAATTTGAATAATTATTGGTGAATAAAGAGAGAATGAAGACATCTACAGAATAATACGAGATGGGAGAGAAAAGAGAGGAGAGGAGAGCGTCTACTAGATTTTCCCAGGATATTCCTAAAAGTCTCTGTTTGAAAGGCAGCAGAGTGTTTTCATGTACAATTGCCGGACCACCTAAGATGCATAAAACGTATAGATGTTGGAAAGGGGTGTATAATTATAGGGTTAGTCTGTCTGTCTGTCTGGATTCAACATAGAACTTGGCACCGAAGTGCACCAGTTTGAGTTGCCACCTTCCAAATAGCACACAGAGGTAGACAAGAAGATGAGTGAAGAGAATCAATAGAGTTTGACAAGTATAAGAGCGGAACAGAATGGGTAATGGTAGAAAGGAATACGAAAGATTACAGAGACTGAATACATCTGCGCTGGCCATTGACAACGATTTTGAGCCATGTCACCTATTGTCTCCAGCCATTGATTCCTAGAGTCCCGAGGGCCCCAACCCGGAAGTCTGCATCTCCCTACCTGACCGACTCAGTTTAATTGTCAAGGATTTCATGGATTGATGAGGCCATGTTTTTGTTTGACCACCACTTACCCTTTTCCAACCTGCACCTATATCAGCTAGCAATGCCCGTCGGGGGAGGCGGTGGTTAGGCATGCGCACCACATGACCTAGCCATCTCAGTCTATGTAACTTTATAGCCTCGTCGATTGATTTTCCCTGTTTGCCTGCCCAACACTCTACGCCTAACGTCAATATTACTTACCTTATTAAACCACGTAACGTGAGAAAGAGATCGCAGACATCTATGATCGAAAGCAGTCAACCTTTTCATGTCTTCAACTCGTATTGGCCATGTTTCAGAGCCATAGGAAGGACGAAGCGAACTGATGAGCAGTACACACGTCCCTTGGTTGATAACCGGATTTCACGCCTACGCCAGAGGTGGTGTAAGTCAGCGAAAGCAGCTCGAGCTCTTTGGATCTGTGCTGAGATTTCATCGCCAATCAGTCCGTTGGTGCTAATACAACTTCCCAAATAGGTGAAGTGGTCAACATGTTCTATCACTTAGTAGGTTAATATAAAAACGTAAGATAATATGGTGTGAAATTTGATAAGAGAGAATTCAATATTGTAAAAATAAATATAATTCTGTATTTAGAATGACAAATGAGACAAGCGGACAGAATTAAGAGTGAGAATAGCAATAGTAATAGTAATAATAATAGTAATAGTCGTGTTAATGAGGGAAAGGTACGTAGATTAACTAAATAAACAAAATACCTAAATAAATATCTATCCCTCTACGGCCAAGACAGAAGTAGGGGTTGTACAAACTTCTTTTGTACACAAAGGTCAAGTATAGTAGTTACAAATACTTTAATTGCATTTCATACTATACTAGTATTATTTCATGTATCCATATCTTTGATTCAATTCCCTAAGTGGATAAAATATCTTAAAGACACCTATTTGACACGGGATACATATTAGAAATTAGTGAGGCTACCAAAGTAATCAATACACAAAGAAAAGCATGGTTACTTAGAATCGCAGAAGCCATTGATTTCAGAGACTTCAACCCAACTTCTGTATACAGAGGGATAGTGTGACTAATCTCTCATTACCCCGATGGGCAATGTTAGCTGACATAAGATGGATCAGGTTGGAAAAAAGTTAGCCGGTGGTGGTCAAACCAAAACATGGCTTCATCAATCAATGAAATCCACAACAGTTCGTTTAAGCCAGATACGTATGGAGGGAGGTGTAGACTTCCTGGCTGGTTGATTTCATCGGGATAGTAAGAACCAATGAAGGCTGGAGACAATCGGTGATATAGCTCAAAATTATCGTTCTCAATGTCTGGTGGAGATGCATCCACTCTCTGTGACTTATAATTCCCTACTATTCCTTTTGCCTCATGTCTCTGTTTTGCATTTCTGTTTACTTTCTTCTCTGGCTTTGTGTGCTGAGTGAAGTGTGGCAATTCGAACTGCTGCACATCGGTGCAAAGTTCTATGCTGAAACCAGACAGATAGACCATGGTAACCGTAATTTTTTTTTGTTCCGTTGCATACATAACATTCCACTCAATTATGAACTAAGCATAAAGTTTCCAAACCTACTAAATTGTTTTGTCTATCTTATAATTCTACTTTACGATTCACCCCTCCCCTGACCCTCCTAGAATCTCCATCATAATAAATACAAATCCGCTGCTCTGTTGTTCTATCTTGTATTTTGTCTCTAGTTCATCCATATTTCCAGGCGAAATCTGAACTCTACCTCTGTCAGGCTTTTAAAATATTCAAGTTTTATATATGGACATTTCTTGTCGCACTGAAATTGGGTTGTGTTTCGTCAACTGATGTCATTCATGAGGTCAATGAAATACTAATTGTTTACATTATGGGATTTGCGGGAATTTAGACTAATTCAATTCCGATTGTTACATTCCGTCACGAACTAACATCTCTTATGGAGATCGTTGAGAAAACAGGAAGCAGGCTTGAAGTTATCGATAAGTTTGTGTACCTGGGTAGTTGTATGAGTGCTGGCGGAGTGATGACGGATGAGATTTCCAAACGTATAATGAAGGCTAGGGTAGCATACATCAACTTGAGCCACCTCTGGCGCCGTCGCGATGTTAGCCTGGCTGTCAAAAGTCGGGTATACAATGCTTCGGTGCGGGCGGGCTGTCTTGCTCTACGTCTGTGAAACCTGGCCTCTCCGAGCTGAGGATGTGCGGCGACCCTGCATGTTCGATCATCACTGTCTCCACAGAATTGCTTGCGTTCGATGGAATCATCGCGTGAGTAATTCTGAGGCTCGAAGGCGTGTGTTTGAACATAGTGGAGATCACCATTCATTGAGTGTCGTCATCTGGAAACACCGGCTCCAGTGGCTTGGGCATATGCTGCGAATGTCATCACAGAGGCTTTCGTACAGGTCTCTGTTCGCTAGCCAGCCCTAGGACGGGATGGTAAAGGCGGAGAGGTGGTCAGTCCATGACATGGCGTCGTGGGATGAAGGATGTTTGTGCTAGATTAGCATCGATTGGTGCGTCAAGACTCCCTGGTTGGGGTCCGCGAGATAGTTTGAATCGATGGCTCGAAACGTTATCGGATATGACCAAGAATCGTAACCAATGGCGAACGTGTTGCAATTTCCTTCTTTCTTCCCTTCCCGATGATAGTTAACGAATACTGTTCGAACTTGTTAAGCATGACGATTTTCCTTCCAGATGAAGTTCTTTATTCGTTCTCTACTTATATTTTTTACCTTTGATCTATGTTGATTTATTATTACTATGTGACGCATCTTTATCGGTGCCATATTGTGCGAAGTTTTTTCTGCGTTGAAATAAATAAATAAGCAGTAGACAGTTGCTTCGTCCTACTTCGGAACTCTCCATCAGCACGCAACTACTACTATACCGGGGCCTTTACGACACAGTCCGAATCCCATAATCGAAATATCAATCTCTACCTAATCGATGAATACTAGCGGATAAATGTCCTAAAACTATACTGAGAAGTCGTGACTAGTGGGACCCTCCGTGTCATCAAGGTGAAGCGAGTGCTCATCGAAGTCGTTAGTGATGGAGAAGGGTAACACTATGTTGCGGGTTGATAAAGCCTAGAATTCACGGTTCACTGAATACCGCCAGCCCAAGTGACTAAATGGTTAGTAGGTTTCATCTCTGTCGTAAATTGAAGGTCCCAAGTTCAATCCCCTTGTAGTTTCACAGGTGCGAACTGATGAAGAGTCACAAACTAGGACGAAACACCTACCAAATACTCTCTGATGGTTTTTATTTTCAGTGATCTGATGTTGATTCGTGACGAAACCTGAAAATTCTAATCAATCAATAAAGAAAGAACACAAAACAAGAAAAATTATTCCCCACTGACTTACTCCAAATATAATACGTAGGATACACTGGATTAGAACAGCTTCTTCATCAGGTAATTCATACTTACACAAAGTATTATTATTGTAATAGACAATTCTTGGTCGACATTCATACGATGCTAATTTGCCCAATACACTTATCACTACAGACAGACCAAGTTCATTTAGCCCACTTGTTAACAAGATATGATGTAATTTATCCAATATTATATTAGGCAAATTATTCTCCACATTATTATTATTTGTATTATTCATTAATTGTTCTTTAATTAAATTACAAATATTACTGCTATTATTATTATTATTATCTACATTAATTTTAGTATTATTACTATTATTATTTTGTATAATTGATTGTATAATTATATAAAATAATTCCTTTTTCGATTTAATCATTGTTAAGCCTAATGGAAGTGTACCGGCTAGATTACGCCAACATGTAAGTTGTCCAGCTTTACGATAATTTTCTGGTAGTCCACTTCCAGACAATAATAGACAGTGAGCAGCACGAAGACATAATGCATCATATTGCGAGAGAATACGCATAAATTCTTGTGAATTAGGCATAAATATGAATTGATTTTCATTCGGTTGGTATTTGTGTTGTTGTTGATATAATCTACGTTGTATACGAAATCCAACCGCAGTGAGTAATAACCTTTAAAAAGTAAAGTAAAATAAACCAATACATTAAATCGATAAGGCTGCATTGACTTGTTCAACGATAAATATGATTACAAAGATGGTGTAAATGTGAATGTGAACATTGAACGTTGACCGATTGACTGACCTTGGTCGCCCCATTGGCGGGCAACTCGAAGGCGTGAATGATTCAGTCGTGTACAAGTTGGAGGAAGGCGAAACAATACGAATAAAAGTACAATACATTCCTTGTCAAACATTTGTTCATAGACTTTGTACGGAATATCGATTTTGATTGCCGAACAATACAATTTCTTATTGCAAGTCCTGGTGTTTTGGAGTTAAGGTCGAGAATCGGTCATAGGAATTATCGATTCGGAGCATCTTCGCAAGTGGTCTTAAAGTCAAGTCGTGGGATCGACCAGGATGCGGATTTCATCCTATTTTGGACTCGTCGGTTAGATGTGCCTGCATCCCCCTCCCTAGTGAGTGAATGATAGTGTTCCCACCGAGGCTCGAACCCAGTGCCCATAGTCTCAAACTAGACGACTTGGGCTACAAGATCCCAATGCCAGTCACTATCCACCACTTGACTTCAAGTTACATGATCAGACATTGTCGAAGCATCTGCACAAAGAGCGCCGACATGTGAACCTGAGATCAAGCATTTCGGTTCAATCAATCGACAGGGAAATCTTAAGCTGAATTTAAAGGTGGCTTTGCTCTAATAAAGAATAGAATCCAGTTTAATAATTTATTCGCTAAATAAAATTACAAAGTTCAACCGCTAACCACATACTTTAGCGACTTAGGGGGGGGGCGACTTGTTACCGGGACACAGTCCTGTGGACGTTTGAAGTTGCAGTAGTAGTGGTGTTATTCTTTTCCTAAACGGGCTGAGGTTGTTAGCATCAGGCCAAACCTTCCCTTTTTATCAGGCTAGGTAAGGTTAAGAAGGGCGTCAGTCGGGGATAAAACTCCGGAACACGTTCGTGGTTGGTGAATATCCTAATACTGAATCACTGACGCATACTACGGACTTGGAGTGCATGGATGATATTATCTATCTGAGTGAAGATGTTAACTTCTTTGAATAGATTTTCTTAACATCACTCGGTATATTAGCCTTGAATTTCCATCGTATTTATAACGGCTTCTTATTTACAAGATGGAGAACAGTCGTTTTCTACTTTCCTGGTCATGTGTATCTTGATGAACTCTTTTCTGGAGATAACAATTTTCAGTCATGGTGTCATATACAATCCTGAGCTCACCTTGAATAACGTCTTCGGAGTATGAAGCTCTAACCCCAACATTGAGGTTAGGCGTCGAGTGCTAGTTGAGTAAGGAGGGGGAATCAATAGACGAGGCTGTGAAATTACATCGATTGAGATGGTTATGACATGTGTTACGTATGTCTAGTCAACGCCTTCCTCGACCTACAGGCAATGTTAGCTGACATAGGGTCAGGCTGGAAAAGAGCTAGCGCCGGTCAAACTAAAATATGGTTTCACCAGTCAATGAAATCTACAACAGTTAATTCAAACCAGTCACGTAAGGAGGTGTAGACTTCCTGACTGGTTGGGATCCTTGGGATGGTAAAAACCAATCACCGGCTGGAAACAATTGGTGACATGGCTCAAAGTGATCGTTCTCAATGGCGCAGGTGCATCCACTCCTTGTGACTTATGATTTCCAATAAAACTATATTGTTCTTCGTTATTACTATTCCTTTTGTCTAATATCCCTGTCTACTGTCTCTATTTTGCATTTCTTTTTACTTCCTTCTCTTGCTTTGTGTGCTACATGGAGGGAGTGTGGCGACTTGAACTGGTGCACATCGGTGCAAAGTTCTATGTAGAAATTTTATTATTATTTATTTAAACGCATAAAAACTTGGTACAATATGGCACCAAGAAGGATGCGCTACACAATAAGAATAAAACAACATAGATCAAAAGAAAAAAAGAAAGAAGAGAAAAAAGTGTACATATAAGTAGAGAACGGATAAAGAACTTCATCTGGAAGGAAAACAGTCATGCTTAACAAGTTCAAACAGTAATCGTTAACTATCATCGGGAAGGGAAGAAAGAAGGAAATTGCAACATGTGTAATAGCACGCGATAAGTTTCATTGATTGTTTGTTAATTCATTCAATTCATTGTGTGAGGGCTGAGATACTGGCCGGGCGCCCAGACCGAGGCAGGTCTATGTCGAGAACACAGACATAGCTCTAACCCTGTAGCTGAGGATCTTCATTGAATTCGTCTTGTACCGGAGGGAGGAACAAAGCTATGAAAATGTGTAAATATTGTCCTGTCCATGTGCTTTCCTTAAGTAAATTTCTCCTCATATTTCTCTCTTTATGGATTATTATTATTATTATTTATTTATTCCTTCACGTTCCCAGTGGAACATAGCGAGGGCTTCAAGCTGGAGGTTTAAAGTTTTTGTGTAGCAGTGCTGATTATTTTTACAGGATGAGGCTGCTAGTCAGCCTCATGCCTCAAACATTTCCTCTTTACCAGCTTTTATTACTGGCTAAGCGAGGTAAAGGAGGAGTGTGTCGGTGGCTGGGGATCGAACCCCAAACCATGTGAGCATGGTCAACGAGCACCCTAACCACTGTGCCACCAACGCACCACCTCTTTATGAATATATATAACTGTAAAAACCTAATGATGAAGAAGTTATCGAAAAGAATATTCTTTTTTCAGAAATCAGCCTTTAGGAAAACATGCATCACAGACAACAACTGACCTGATTAAACGTGCCAATCGTTTAGCTAGAGCACGCCATGCACCTAAATGTGTTTGTGCAGTCGGTTGTGGAGCATAATCTGCATAGATTTTTTCACAAGCTTCAATTAAACATAATACACGATCAGCGAATGCAATCGATGTCATCAGACCAGACTCATTCATCATTTGATGCTGCTGCGGCTGCTGCTCCTGGTGATACTCCCCACTGGACGGTCTGTCTCCTGGAGTATAATAATCATAAGCGAGAAGTTGTAGAAGGCGTTCAATTCTTAACTGACCAAGTAAACAGCTTAAATCATCAGGATTTAAATAAGCGCATGAATCATCATTTTGACTGTTGGTTGTAGAAGGTATTTCAAATAGTTTAGACATTGATGTCTTTTTCTGTTTATTACTCAAGTCTATTTTATCCTCAGTATCACTTTCACCGGCTGAATCAACTGTAGTCCAGGGTGTCTCCTCTTTATTTGAATCTGAATCTGTTTGCTTGCTTGATGAGTTGTTTTTGTTGTTGGTGGTGGTGTTGATTGAAGTGACAAAACGTTCCCGTTCACTAAAGGAAAGAAAAATTCAGGAACAAATAGAGAAAAGAAGGGGCAAAAAGATGAAGTGAAATGAAACTTTCCCCTTTTCAAAATGTCATACATTCATTTATATAAACCAACGACGATCAAATCGAGTGAGACGGCAGCTGCTCACCGATGACGTTGGCTAGCAACGGTGCTGTATATACCCATCACAGAAGTTAGAATTCACGGATCACTGGATTCCATCTTAGCACCTGAATAATCGACCAGTTCATCTTAGAATCTGAAAGTCATAAATTGTTTGTACTTCTATACAGTCCCAAAGTAGGAAGTTACGGCTTCCCAGTACTCCCCGGGGATTGATTTCAATGATTCTCTGATTGATTTCAGTCTGTGACGCAACATGAAGTGGCGAACTATCGAAAGCTAGAAGGTGGGCATCCACGACTTCGTTGAAGATAAAAGCAACCCAGGACCATTAAATATAAAACGCGAGCATGCCACCTAACTGAACTGAAGTTGGAAAGAAATGAGTCACTAGAAACATCATTAATGTTCAAGAGCATTGTAAAGAGAGTGCTATGAGTTTCGATGGTAGTTCATTGTTTCATTTCATTGATTATGTCACGGCTGAGATACTGCTCAGGCGCCCAGACCAAAACTGGTGTTTGTTTTAAGGGAGCACTCATCGAGCCTTTGACATGGTGTCTAATTTGCAAAGCAGAGTAAAAGCATCAGGAGCTGCGTTCCCATGGATGTCGGTGACCAATATAGGTTCATACGCAATTCCATCCAATTGGATTGTGGAGCCCATGTGCCCGTTAGTAACTGATTTTAATCTAACTGCTATACAAACAACCTTGCTGGCATATTGGGACCTGCAGGAACATAAGTCCTAGCCAGCGTAGCTTTTCGGATCACCGCCTTGCTGACTGGTGGGTCCCAACTAGCACGAAACCTAAGTCAAGCAAGGCTTCCTGTGGCCGATCGCCTCCAACCATCTAATATCATCAAATCAGTTTGTACCATGATGGTGAGCCACCTAACACAATGGCCACATTACAAACCTGACGACTGATAGAATTCAGTCTGCACTAAAAAAGAAAAGATTAAACACATCACACTAGTTACTGACCAGTGTCCAATCAAAGTAAGCATTGCATATAAATGCGATTGTAGAGGTATGTGAATGAATTCGCCGTAGAAAAGAGTCTCCTAGCTGAACGTTTTTTCTTTTTTATATGACTCACTGGGGAATCGTTGTTGTGTACTGCTGCTGAGTGAGTTATTAGAGTTTTCCCCGTTCCCAATTATGTTATGTACTCGTCGAGTAGTTAATAGTCCTGACGGGGAAAGAGGGAAATCAGAAGACCATCAGGTTTACGATGATACTTGTATTTTCCAGACAAGGAAAATAAATGTCACACTAGTGTGTGAGTGAGTTGGTACAAGTGTACGAAACGTGTGAACCCAAGAATAATGTACAAGTGTCTAATACAAAAGTATATATGAAAATGGCTAATACACATGAACCAATAAGATAACGTCTTACCATGATCGGTTGTAATGTCATGTGATAACAAGGTCATACATTGTTTATTTAGTTAATGGACAGACAAAAGCATATTGTCAGTTATAATGGAATATCGATCCATATACACATAGCGAAATATAACAGACTGTCAAAACAAAACACACATCATGTGGGTACATATCAATTGTATACTTGATTATATATATAGGCAGCTTACCGTACTGGTCGTAAACATATTGCAAACAGAGTTAATATCAGCTCAACTTCTGGTTGGTAGAGAAATTCAACGAGATTTTTAGTTCTTTCCCATGCAACAGTTGGATCTGGTGGTTGTAATAAACACACAAACAATTTGATCAATGATGAGGGTAGACGTAACAATTGCATCAGGATGAATATATGATCCTCTGGTCTACATGCACGAACCGTGACACCAGCCTATATAGATATAACACAAAACAAACATTGAAGATCGATATATATATAAGGTAAAGTTGCAAAAAGTCAACTAAGATGAGCTGGTTATTTTGACTTTCAATATGTTCTATTAATTTAACTTGACCTAAGTAGTCTATTTTCTCACCCCTTAACTCTTTGTTATGTATAAGCTGAGTGGATTTCGTAAATTCCGGTTTCATAATAGTACTTTGATAAAGCTATTAGCATTAAATAGCGAAACGTCAGTAAAACATAACAATATCGTTTTGCTCTTTTCCATTCATTGGGAAATACAAAAACACCTTTATTATATAAGATGAGCTGATTTAAGCATTATCTGTTTATGATTATTAAAAAACACAAACTTGGTAAATATTATGAAATATATTAAATATGCTCATAGTAAAACAGAACAACACATCATCAGGCTGAACTCTAATATACACACATAACTTTACAAATAAAAATTTAGTTGATAGTGGTCATTTAGTGTGGTGGAGAAAACGAGAGCATTCAAAGTAATTCATCGCATCCCACAGAATCTTTCCACTAGACTTCGTATTCGTCTACTGCACACATAGCTGTGACGATAGGCATTCGAACTATTAACCCTAAACTATGCATACAAAAGAAGTTCGTACAGCCATTATACCCTCGTCCTTGGCCTATGCTTAAGACTTAACCAACTAATTGATGACGTCTCCACTACACCTTACTTATATTTTGAACCCCTCTCTTAACATCCCTTAATCTTATTACATCTTCATTAAAAATGTGTTTCATTTACTTCCCTTACAATCTAACATTACTTAATCGGTTCATTTGGTTTTCTTAGCCTTTATCGACTAATATGTCTACCTAAACACAATTGTTTATTTAATCATGCTGTTTTTCATTATTCATGTTATCACAGATTGCCCCACTTTTTCATCCTTATTATTGATAAAACCATTATTATCATTACTACTATTATGACTAATTGTACAATTTATATTCACCATCTTATAATCCTATAGACAAAACACCATAATTGGTTGATATTTGAATTTTTATTTGTAAACTTATATACAAATTAGAGTTAAGCCTGATGAAATCTAATTGAAAACAACAATATTGTTAGCTTAAATGTGTTATTCTAAATATTATGCAAACCATGAGATGCACCACACAAAATTTGATAGTTTGATTGTACTAGGGGCTAAGATACTGCCCGAACTAAAGCCAATATAGTTATCTTAAGGGGCCACCTCTCGAGACTTTGACTTGGAGCCTGATCCACATGGATAGTGTGCAGTAGCGTCTTCATGATTTTCAGTGACTAAAACAGATTCATAGTCTACTCGATCCTTTCGGATTCTTGAGCCCATATATATGTACACCATAGATTTGCAATGAGGGTTTTCCAACTCCTCTGCGTAATCCAGCATATTTACCAGTCCGGTCATAAGTGCCAGATGTTCATACTCACCATTTCACTTTCTTTTTGAGAGGTGCATCCCTGCCGTGTAAAGGCCGTGAACAGGACTTACCTGGTAGAGGCTAAGAATGTATGGTGACGGTGTTCCGAGAGAGAAAGACCCAAGTCTATCCAATCTCGGCTGTACTAGGTCGTTTATGAAGGCAATTCAAGATAGTCATTCAGAAATATATTTGAATCAGGAGATACCTTGTTTTACCTATTTTTATCTTCAATGCGCTGGTCAAACAAAAATGTTCTCGCTTCGAAGCACTTTGATCTAACTTAAATAAGTTATTCTATTAATGTAATAAAAAGACAGGTATATATCTACGTAGGACCTTTCACAAACATTCACATAATGACACGACAACACATTGCAACAGTGTACATTTGAGATCAAGAAAGAAGAATAAGCCAAGATAAAAAAAAGAAGAAAGTAAGGAGGAGTGCAGAGTGGAGGTAGACAAATTATTCATAATTTCGACAGTCACAAACGAAACCCGGTGGTTGCGTACTGGTGGAGAGTCCCAAACTAGGACGAAATAGTTAGCTGTCCAGTACTCCTTGGCAGGTTTTCCAATGATTCTCTAACCAAAGTCATCTCATGATGAAATCCTGCAACTAATCAATCAAATCCCTGTCTGTCTGTCTGTCTATCTCGATTCAACATAGAACTTGGCACCGAAGTGCACCAGTTCGAGTTGCCACCTTCCAAATAGCACACAGAGGTAGACAAGAAGATGAGTGAAGAGAATCAATAGAGTTTGACAAGTATAAGAGTGAAACAGAATGGGTAATGGTAGAAAGGAATATGAAAGATTACAGAGACTGAATACATCTGCGCTGGCCATTGACAACGATTTTGAGCCATGTCACCTATTGTCTCCAGCCATTGATTCCTAGAGTCCCGAGGGCCCCAACCCGGGAGTCTGCATCTCCCTACCTGACTCAGTTTAACTGTCAAGGATTTCATGGATTGATGAGGCCATGTTTTTGTTTGGCCACCACTGGCTCTTTTCCAACCTGAACCTATATCAGCTAATAATGCCCGTCGGGGGAGGCGGTGGTTAGGCATGCGCACCACGTGACCTAGCCATCTTAGTCTATGTAACTTTATAGCCTCGTCGATTGATTTTCCCTCTTTGCCCAACACTCTACGCCTAACGTCAACATTACTTATCTTGTGAAACCACCTAACGTGAGACAGAGATCGCAGACATCTATGATCGAAAGCAGTCAACCTTTTCATGTCTTCAACGCGTATTGGCCATGTTTCAGAGCCATAGAGAAGGACGGAGCGAACTGATGAGCAGTACACACGTCCCTTGGTTGATAACCGGATGTCACGCCTACGCCAGAGATGGTGTAAGTCAGCGAAAGCAGCTCGAGCTTTTCGGATCCGTGCTGAGATTTCATCGCCAATCAGTCCGTTGGTGCTAATACAACTTCCCAAATAGGTGAAGTGGTCAACATGTTCTATCACTTCACTCCCTATCACTAAGTTAGGAGTTGACGTGGTCCAGTCCTGTAGCAGCATCTTACATTTTGTAGGGGCGAATCGCATGCCAAACATACGAAGATTGCTGCTCAAGGTGTTCAGAAGACTCTGCATTTTGTCAGCATCCTCCCCTAACAGGACTATGTCATCTGCATATTCTAAGTCCATTAGATTATTCCCTGGTAACAAGTCGATTCCTAAGTCATTACGTTCAGTTAAGGATACTTCCATCAGCATATCTATGATGAAGTTAAACAGAAATGGGGAAAGTGGACATCCCTGTCGGACACCACTGGTTGTTACCAATTCAGATGACAATTCCCCATAAGCCCTTACACGACTACGTGAGTTTGAATAGAGTGCCTTGATTAGTGCAATGTACTTTCTTGGCACTCCCTTCACAGTCAGACATTGCCATAGTACCTTTCGATCCACGGAGTCGAAGGCCGCCTTCAAGTCAAGAAATATGACAATTGTTGGACGCCGAAAAGTGTGTCTATGTTCTAGAATCTGTCGAAGAGTGAAGATATGATCTATGCACCCTCTACCTGGTCTAAAGCCTGCTTGATTTTCCCTTGTCTGTTCCTCCCGAGTTCTGCTTAGTCTATGCATGATTACTGAGCCTAGGATTTTAGAGACTATGTTCGTTAGGCTGATCCCCCTATGATTATCACACGAGGACTTGTTTCCCTTCTTGAATATCGGTATAATAAGTGACTTACCCCAGTCTGATGGCACTGTCTCTGATTCCCAGACTTTGCCTAGTACCTCAGTTAATCTACAAACTAGTATGTCACCCCCATATTTAAACACCTCCGGAATAATTCCGTCGGGTCCTGCCGCTTTGCCTCGTTTCAAATTACTGATAGCTTTTGTGACCTCACTTACAGACGGCGGACCAGTGTCTATATCCCATTCGGGTGTGTGTGGATGTCGGGGAGGTTCAGTGTGGCTGTAGGCAAGTTAAATTGTCCTCAAAGTGTTCTTTCCAGCGTTCAAGGCGTCTATCCTGAGAGCTAATTAAGGAGCCATTTTTCTCAGAAATAGTCTCACTTATGATTTGCCTTCTCCCACCCATTTCCCTGATGAGTCTAAAGAGTTGCCTAGTGTTGCCTATCGCCGATGCTTTTTCCATCCACCACTGTTCACGGTCCTTGCGGAGACTTTTAGTAAGTTTCCTTTTGTGCAGCTTTCGCTCCTCATTGAATTCGGAGCTCGCCGGAATAAGTCTTCTAGCATCTATCAGTTCGGATGAGGCAGTCGAAATCCAGTGGTTTTTACTCACCTTTGGATTTGCTTATTCACAGCTTTTACAGCTGTATCTATGGCTGACTGAATATTCTTCCAGGCTTCTCCAGGGTGAGCACAGCTGTCGAACTCAGATATGCGTTTAGCTAGTTCTTCCTCAAATAGGGATTTAGTTTCCTGATCGAGCTGGGGACGTGATGGTTTTACCGCCAGCTGTTTCCTACGTCCGTTCAGTCGTAAGCACACACGAGCCCGGACCAGTGCGTGATCGGTATCTACACACGTGTTCCAGAAGGAGCGACAATCTCCTACCGACCCACGCCAACGATAGCTTATTGCTATGTGGTCTATTTGTGTCCAGCGTTGGTTTGATGATGGGGGTCGCCAGGTTAAACAGTGTCTCTCCTTGTGTTTAAAGTTAGTGCTTACAAGAAACAAATGATTATCTGAACAGAACTGTAGGAGACGGTCACCGTTGTCGGTTCGCTGGCACGGAACTCCATAGGTGCCACCGACATCCTTCTCAGATTGACACAATTTCCCTACTTGAGCATTAAAGTCACCAGCTAGAACGACTATATCTGAGCGTTTAGCCTTTCTCACCAAACTAGACAGCTTTTGGTAGAACTCATCCTTCGTTTCATCCGAACTGCAGTCAGTGGGGGCGTCCCTACAATCCAACACTTGAATATCGATGAGATACTCACTGGCGACTCGCCCTATTCAAGTAGGTAGTTACCTGTGGTTCTGGTGAAAAGTCGTGACCAGTAGGGTGCAGCAGGTTGCGTGTGAGGACAAATACTGCCCCCCAATACATTGGCTAGCAGTCGCGCTATATCGTGAATTGGCAGAAGTTGGAATTCATGGGCTGGCCATGGAGTCGGGTCACAGTGGCTCAATGGTCTACCACCTAGCTCACCTTGTAACCAGAAGGTCCTGGGTTCGAACCCCGGTTGGGTGGGTGCGTACTGTTGAAGAGCCCCACACTAGGCTGACGAAACAGCTAGCTGTGCAGTACTTCCTGGCAGGTTTTTCAATGGTTTTCTAACTGATGTCAGCTCATGATGAAATCCTGTAACTAAAAGCGAATTCTTCTGTGTTACTACCAATCTAACACATCAATGACAAGGTAGTCTACACCTTCCCATAGAATACAAAGCAACAATCAGGGAATTGATGGAATTATTCGATTTTTTAATTTGACCATCTTCAAACCAATATCTTGTGTTCTAAAGATATTTAACAACCGAACATTTGTGTTCACTTACGTTTTTCACCGACAACAACAGAAGAATAAATGTTGATAAAAACAGTCTGGTATAGGATTCGAACCTGGGACCCACCGGCTGAAAATCAATGAGACAAATCTCCACCATAGTCTGCATTTGTGTGTAACTAAAAATGACTTTTTTTATTTCCTTCACGTTCCCAGTGGAACATAGGGCCTCAAGCTTGTGGCTTGAAGATTCTGTAGCAGTGTTTAATTTTACAGGATGGGGTTGCTAGCCTCATGCCCAACCTTCACTCTTTACCAGTCTTATTACTGGTTTAGCGAGGTAAGGGAGGAGTGTGTCGGCCGGGGATCGAACCCCGGACCGTGTGCATGGTCGGCGAGTGTCTTAACCATTGTGCCACCAACGCACCAAAGATGACTTAATGGAATGTAATAAATGAATTAATTATATTCGGGATTCTTACTGAGATGAAATCCTAGAAGTTTCATATTCCCACCCCGTAACTGACTGACTGGTTCCAACATAGAACTTTCCATAGATGTGCGCACCAGTCTGAGTTATCACACTCACTCCTTGTAGCACACAAAGCAAGAGAAGAGAGCTAAGTCAGATTCAAAAGGAGAGGGGGATAACAAACCGAACTATGAAGTGAAAGGAGCAGTAATATGGAAGAACAATATGGGTTTTATTGCATATGACTTGCAAATCACAAACAGTGGATGCATCTGCGTCAGCCATTGATAACGATTTTGAACCATATCACCAAAAGTCTCCAATAGCCATTGGTTCTTACTATCCCTGTGACCATTAACCAGGAAGTCTACATAATCGACGTAACTTCACAACCACCTCGTCGATTGATTCCCCCCCCTCCCACCTACCTCGCACTCGACAATAAAACAATATATTACTTTCCCTATTATGCCACCTATAACATGGAGGATAGAATGCGGGCACCTATGATCAAAGACAACAACTAGCCCTTTCATATTTCCCACCTCGTGAAAGTAACCGAAGAGCTACACTGAAGTAACTCCAAAGCTTAGAGCTTGAAACCCCATATGTTCCATTCTGAAGGTAAAGAGGTCATAAAAAAGAATAACCTGATAGACATCAATATCAGTTTACACCAGATTATAAACAGACAATGAAATTAACTTACAGTTAAAATTAACCAGTTAGATACATGTTTAAGAAACGTTGGATCGTGTGTACGACCACCGTATTGATTTGACCAAAATTGACGTAAACAAGCAAAAAGAATTGAACATGTTGAACGTAACTCTTTTAATTGAATTAAATGCGTAGAATCAACTTTTGAACAAATTACTAAAAAGAAAGTGTAAAATGAAAAAAAAACACAACAGATAATAAAATAAAATTTCATTTCAAGTATTGATTTTGTAGGAAACTTCAGTTTGTTTGGTTGGAGGATTTCATCATGAGCTGACACATTAGTTAGAGAACCACTGAAAAAGCCAGCCAGGGAGTACTGGACGGCTGTTTCGTCCCAGTTTGGGATTCTTCATCAGTATTAACTGGTGTCCGCTCATGATGAAATCCACCATTCACTCAAACAAAATCCCTACATAACCAATACATGAAAATTAATCTGATCCTCACTAGCGACTGGCCCTATTCGGGTAGTGACCTAGAGTTCCAGTGATAAGTCGTGACCAGTACGGCACAACAGGTTGAGGGTGAAGCAGTAACTCATTGAAAAAGACATTGCAAAGTGATCGCGCCAAATCATGAATTGGCAGAAGTTAGAATTCATGGGCTGGCCATTAAAGTGTCGGGTCCTAGTGGCTTAATGGTCTACGAGCTAGCTCACCTTGTAACCACAAGGTCCTGGGTTCGAACCCCGACGGTGAGGTGGGTGCGTACTGCTGAAGGGTTAGTCCCAAACTAGGCTGACGAAACAGCTAGCTGTCTGGTAGGTTTTCTAATGATTCTCTCACTTATGTCAGCTCATGATGAAATCCTCCAACCAATAAAAATTTCATCTCGTTTAGGGTCCTTAGGAATATTAAGTTATTTGACTGATTGAGTTTCAATATAGGACTTTGAACAGAAGTGCAAACCATCTAAGTTACCTCACTCAATAATACACCACACAAAGGCAGAGTAGTAAGATTTTAAAGAAATGTGCAAGAGAAAGAACAGTAACATGGGAGAAAACATGAGGATGTAATACATTTGGGAGATAACAGAGGGGGTGGATGCATCTGCGTGCAACTGAGGACAATTTTCGGACATATTACGATTATAGTTATCAACACGAATATTATCTATTCTTTTAAGTTTGAAGACGAGAAACAAAGTGGTCAACTGTCGAAAAGTAACCAGTGGCGTTAATTCCAGTTTCTCCTGAAATTAAGTATCTTGGACTTTTTCTCTCTTCTGATCTCTCCTGGTCTTCCCATGTCTTAACGATCTCCAGTAAAATATTCCGCCTGACATTTTACATTAAGAAGTTAAGACACTCGGGTATAACTCAACCCCTCCTCCTACAGTTCATAAACTCTTGCATCCTACCTATTCTTCTTTATTGTTCACCCTTATTCTTTCCTGGTTTGCTTAAAAAGGACTATGTCACAATTCGTAGAATACTGAAGACTGTCAGTAGGGTGAGTGGTGTCCCAGTGGACCACATAGTCGATAGGCACTTGACTTCATGCAATAAATTTGCTAAAGGGATTTTGTCTGACTTGGAGTATCCGCTTTACCCTCAGCTCTCACCTTGCATCTCCTCAGGTAGAACAAGTAGTAACTTCAAAAAACTGTATGCTCGCACGTCTAAGTATAAAAATTCTATGATACCATACTTGGCACGTATTTTATGTGATAGTGAAAATAGTGTCAGGCAAGAATTAACTAACCTTTTTTCATCTAGTAAATAAACGATTTCCTCCATCCATCCTTATATACCTTCAAGTTTTACTTTTATTACTTCTATTATATTTATGGTCCTGTTACTTCTCTGTTTTACTCTCATAACTGCAAACACCAACTTATCTCCATGACTGCAGTAATCTTTGTTTTTCCCCTCACCATATCATGCAAAAAGGAACATAATATTCAATATTTTTAAACATGTTAGGATTTCTATACCACATTGCCAATACTGTATGACACAAGCCAACGGCAATTTTCACTTGTATTCTTATTATTATTATTACCCTAGCTGTTATCATTATTATTGCTATTTCCATTTTATATGCTGCATGTTTTTGACACTACCTCTATTGTAAATGTGAAAAATTTTCTGTGTGATTAATTTTTATTTATAATTTGAGGAAGTTAGATGCAATATTGTGATTAATGCTGAAAATTCCATTCTGTATCACAAGTACTGTTTTTGGAATAAAGTAAATCACTATTATTATTATTATTAAATTTCTTCACATACCTGCTGAGTTCAATAGTTCGACACTAAAGAGACAGGTACTATGATTTAACCTTCCCATCTACCTTTAACTTCCTTTCAAGTGAATTATGTCCTAATGTAATTCACTAAATATTCACCTTAATAAATAATTAATTATTATGGCATTCTAATTCCTAATTTTAATTTTTACTAATTTGACCCTTGACCGGATATTATTCTGGAACTTTCCTATCCATTTGATATAAATACGCGAATGTACAACCAAGATGATGACTTCGTCGAAAAGAAAATTTTCTTCGCTGCAATTGTCTTCTTAAATAATTAAGTTTAATTTCGATTGTTAGATTTTGTCATGAATCGACATCATTTAGAGGATCCTTGAAATGGTAAAAACCAATGACGGTTGGAGGCAATTGGTGATATGGCTCAAAATCCTCGTTCTAAATGACTGCGCAGATGCTATCACTCTTTGTCATTTGTTATATCCAGTAATATACTATTGTTCTTTCATATTACCATTCTTTTTCTCTCACGCTTTTGTTTATTATCTCACATCATCCATGAATCGTAACTTTGTCAACTCGTGGTATAGTATTACACTTCTTCACTAATATCATTGATGAGGACCAACTTCACCTTGACATGGTGGATCCCACTGATTACTATTTCTCAGCTTCGAGACATTCATCCAGTAGTAGCTATCAACGACCTGGGGATTGAGGGAATATAAGACTTACAGGGATTTGGATTAATTGAATTTCGGGCTTGGTCTCGTAACCTGAAGGTGCCGGGTTCAATCCCTAATAAGGTCAAGGTTGCACACTTCCGAAAAATCCCAAAATGGGCGAAACAGTCGCGCAGTTCTCTCTGGTTTACAATGATCTCTCTAAATGATGTTGGCTCGTAAAGAAGTCCAACAAACTAACAACCACCCTACGAGTAACATGAATTGGCAAAACACAACCCAACCTGAGTGCGACAAACAATGTGTCTATACACACGATTTACAATGGGCACATAAAATGAATAGACAGGTTGATAATTACTAACCAGAATACGACAAAATGTCATCCAGTAGCCTGTTAGTCAGTTATACTGAGTTTTGGAGACCGTCATAACAAAAAAAGGCAGTCGGCCACTCATATTAAGTCTTGTTAAGGTAATGTCATCACATGGTATTACAACATTCTTGCGCACAACATGATTGATCAGCACTCGAGAATCACCTGGTCACAAAAATACTTAAGTCAGCCAGAAAATAAATGATTAAATGGGTTATTTTTGATATAAAATTAAATAGTTTTCTGTCCCGATTGAGTTATATTTAAAAAGAAATGGTCCAAATAAACTGTTTGAAATAATTTATCAGTTTAAGTGTGTGTGTGTGTGTCAGTGGTAGAATCTTGACGATTTCCAAGAAAATATACCGTCTTACCTTCTACATCAAGAAGTTAAGACATTCTGGTGTAACCCAACCCTTACTCCTACAATTTGTTAACTCCCGTATTCTGCCTATTATTCTCTATTGCTCCCCCTTAGTCTTTCCTGGGCTATTAAAGAAAGACTATACCTTATTACGTAGGATGTTAAAGGTTGTCAGCAGGGTAAGCAGTTTGCCACTTAGCCAGCTTGTTAATATTCTGGTGGACAGGCACATGGACTCATGTGAAAAATGGGCGAAATCCATTTTATCTGACTCACAACACGCTCTACATTCACAACTCTCCCCATGTATCTCTTCAGGGGAAACCATAAGCCTATATAGGAAACTATATGCCCGCACTAGTAAGTACAAAAACTCATCCATACCCTACCTAGCCCGTGTTCTGTGCGATAAAGAATGCATCAGGCATGAAACCTTTAACTTATTAAATAGTCAGTAGAACCAATGGATCTCGTCTTTCCAACTCACATCATTTATAGGTACAACGTTTTCTCTCTCTTCATTCTGTATTTATTTTTGTTATGTGCTGCTTTGTTTCTCTCTTCCTTGCAAACTCTACTTAAAACATTCTTGTTCGTTCTTTCACACTCTGTATATCTCGACCATTTGCTATCGCTTACGCCAGTAAATATGCTAGTAGTATCTACTTTTCTAACACCTTCAAACACTTTAAATTTTGGCTTTGCTACCGACATGCTAATATGTTGTTGTCAAAACTGACTGAGATAACTTTAATCTATGTAGAACTATATTTATTGTTAATGTACCAACTGGATGCAATATTGTAGTAAAATGCTGAGAATTCCATTCTGTATCACAAGTACTGATTTGGAATAAAGCTTATCTTATCTTAAATACACGCTAACCACGCACATGGTCTTGGGTTCGACTCCTCGCCCACTTCACGCCTATATCTCACCTAATTTACCAGCTGATAGATAGTATGCCAGGAAAAGAGGGAGAACGTGAGGCTAACAATCGTATCGCGTAAAAAGAAAACTGAAACTTTAGAGTCTGAAGCCCCCTATATCCCACTCGAACAAAATAAGCCAACTGGTTTAAACACACTCTTTGAATTGACTGAAATTTTACAGAAGCAAATTTCATATGAGACTATTTTTTAAGAATGTTATCATGCAATATTTTTGAAAATAGTACATAGGGAATATGGATCTTGATGTGGTTGTGTTCTCTGAGCTGAATGGTTGATTTGCGAAGCTTTCATCACCCTACTAGTGACATTTTCAGAGCATACTTCAATTTGAAGTGAGCTTTTAGATTTCTCCACGAGTTTATTAGTCATCTCTCCTGGTGACCTTGGACGTGATTGGTTGTTTTTGTGTGTTTTCACACCTTCTAGGTTACTTGTATCGGAACTGACTGTAAATTGTAACAACTGAGAAAAGCACTACATTGGTCAAAGTGGACGTCCTCTTCGTCTTCGTATCCACGAACATAAGCTAGCCGTCAAAAGACATGATATCCACTCCCTCATTTCACTACACACAGACAACTACGGACATCAATTCGACTGGGACAACGTTCAAATATTAGACAGAGGAAATAACAAGAATGCTAGAGAATTTTTAGAAGCTTGCCTGGTATTCCAGTGAATCATCAATCATTAGACACATCGAGATAGACAAAATTTACCAACCGATAAGAAAGAAAGCTCACACACAAAGGGTCAAAGTTTAAGTCAAAGAAACTATCAGTTCCAATACAAGTAACCTAGAAGGTGTGAAAACACACAAAAACAACCAATCACGTTCAAGGTCACTGGGCGAGATGATTAATAAACTCACGGAGAAATCTAAAAAGAGCTCACTTCCTTCAAACCGATGTATGGGCTGAAGATGTTGCCTAGTAGGGCGATGGAAGCTTCTCAAATTAACTATCCAGCTAGCTCAGAGAACACAACCACATCAAAATCATCCACCTGAGCTACAAATCTTCGCTATCATATCTGAATATTGATCTACTCACCAAATAGTCTACTTTATTGGGAAAAAGAAGTATCTTCGTTGGACAACTTGCTTTTGTTCTTTTCATATAAATATATTAATCCTGTGTCATTAAGATACATGTGATAACTGCTTGTACATACGAATCACGTTACTTTTTTTTTGTAGGATTCGGATACACTTTTCTTTTCCAAGAGTTTGGTTTGTAAGGATTAGATTTCTTTATATGAGTTTGACCACGGATTGATATCAATTAGAGAAGCATCGAAAACCAGCACTGGAGTACTGGACAGCCAGCTGTTTCATCGCTAGTGACTTGCTACAGGACGGAGTTTCCTGGAGTTCCACTGAGAAGTCGTGACCAGTGAGGTCCATCCAGTCGAGAGTGAGGATGGAGACGAATACGAAGTCTAGTGGAAAGATTCTGTGGGATGCGATGAACTGTCTCCAATGTTTTTGTTTTCTCCACTACATGACCAAAATCAACTAAATGTGACAAGATGGAGCTACGGATTGTTTTTGTCTGTCCTTCGCCAAACCACGATGGAAGATGTTCAGTAATACGTTGGCTAAGCTGTCTAGTAGTACGCCCAACATAACTGTCACCACAGGTGCAGTTGAATTGATAAATGCACATAGATGTGGCAAAACCATCTAGCTTATCCTTCGTTTGAGTCGCAATAATTTCGTCGGCTAGAGAATGACAAACATAGGCATGCTGCGTAAAACGTTCGACGTATACTCCTGGAGAGTCTCTGGAATAAAATCTCACTTGACAAGTCACCATTAAATTGTAACTTAATACACAGGAGTTTTTTACGTGCAGTCAGAGTTTCAGGTTTTCTCTCCAATGTTTCCAAATGTTTCTTTATGAAACTAATAGCATAGCCCATCTTTGTCAAGGAATCATGAATATAGTCAAATTCCCTTTGTAAGAGCTCATCAGTACGTATCTTTATTGCTCTGCTCGTTAGACATTTAACGGCATATTTTAAAAATATTTAATGGGCACGTAACTAAGCAAGGAAGTGTGTATATTGCCCTGTTAATGTGCTTTTTCTATACATGCTTCTCCAAAATGATCCATCTTCTCGCCTATTAAGCAAGACATCCAAAATATGTGGTTTACTATCCTGCTCCTTTTGTATATATATATATATATATACGGAAGGATGACATGTCTGAGCAACAGTCTGCCCCGCCCAACCGATAGCTGCTACCTTGACGCAGTGGTCGGGTTTGCACACCTCAATGACCCAACAAGCTACATTGGCTGGAGCCAATGTTCCTCCAGGTCCTACCACACCAGGAAGGTTGTTAGGATAGCGATTAGACCCAAAGCAGTTACCGGCATAGTGTAAGATGTTTTTATACTATGCTGGGTATCTGTGGGCGAAGCCGTACTGCTGGGGAACAGGGATGTAACAGCATTCAGGTGTTTGCCTCAGATGATCAGCATGCCGGCCAGCTATGCTGTCTCTCCACTCTGGAGAAATAGAGGCTGTTAGAAATGGTCGACCCCAACAATTGTGCATCCCGACTTACTCTACGATGGTCCGTAACCGGCGGTAAGTTTACTAATACGGAACCAAACCAAGAAACCAGTTCATACAGGCCGTGTGTGACTGGCCTCAAACAGTTGTCTTCTGGACTCTGCGGTCACGCAACACTAACTGTCTTTCTGTTTCAGGTACACGAAGAACCAGTCAGCTTCCACGGTGTGGGCAGCCGGGAAGTAACAATCGCTCACACACTTCCAAAACCACACGAAGCCTTCCTGAGCATCACTTCCCATCCTTCTAACTGATCGTGAGACATGAAGGTGGAAGATATTAAGAGGTTATCTATATTGCGTCATAGATCTTCGCGTCCTATCTTCTGCGTTAAATGGTATATTACAGTAATTAATATTAAGCGTAGGTGTAATGTTAAGTAAATGGGGAAAGTGAGTCGATGGGGCTGTGAGGCTGCATCGATTAAAATGGCTAGGACATTTACGCTTCCGTATGACTAGCTATCACAGTTGAGTGAAATTGTCTAAGATAGAATTAAGTTGGAAATAGTGTCAGCGGGAGAGATTTAAGAGAAGTTACTTCCTTCAATTGTCTAGGCAGCCATCATCGTTTCAACCACAGGCAGTCGGAACGGATGAAGATGTCAAAACTAACCAGGCAGAATCGGAAAGGCAAGATACGCCTTCATCAACCAGGAACCAGTTTGGAAATCTTCTGCACTCAGTCAGTCAGCATAAGGAACAAGATTCTCATTTTCAACACCACTGTCAAGTCGGTCCTTCTATACGGGTCAGAAACTTGCACTGCGCGTGAGTCACGAAAATCATTTCCAGCAGGTTGCAGACTTTCATCAACATCTGCCTTTGCTCCAGACTCAAGATCAAATGACCAGAAAGAATTAGTAACAAGAAACTATGGGAACAAACCAACCAAGAAACGATCACTTAACAAATATGTAGGATAAAATAGAGATGGATCGGGCGCACGCTGAGAAAGGAGGCCATCGAACGGCATTACCATTACTCGAATGAAATCCCAATGGGGAGCGAAGAGTAGTTTGTCGGTGGGAAGGTGGCATGGAGGAGGAGGAGGTCAGCCAGCTGAAGAAGACATCAGATAGTAGAACAAATTGGAGATTTGTTGTCGAAGCCCATATTCCACTCGAAACTCGAAGAAATAATAAAAAAATATTGTCAGAGAAGTTCTCAGCATTTAGTTTTAACCACGTAGGGAAGGTGTAAACTATCTAACTGGTTGGAGTCTCCCGGACACTCAGAACCAGTCATAAGGGAATGTCGATGACATGGCTCAAAACTACACTTTTGTGCAAAGTTTACGCTGATAACTCAGACAGCGTTAGTCACTGGAAATGTTATATACATATATATATTATAGGACGAATCTAGTATATTCTAGGATATGCTTATTGCAATGATTATTTAGATAGGAGAAATGTAACTAACAAAAAGGATAGACACACACACATACACAAAATTATTGAGATCACATCAGTTATATGTAAAAAAAAACTTACATATTCCTGGTTGTGATGGAGTTAAATTCTCGTAAATTGAACATTGTGTTAAAATGTTTGCTAAGTATTCTTCAATACGATTTCTAAAAAGAATTGAAAAGTAGAAAATGTAGCTGAAATTTCTCTTGCTTTTCATTTAACTACTAGTTTACATTTCGTAAGAAATGAAATAGAAAAATCACATTTTTTAGAGAATTCATAAACCGTATTCTCATTTATTATTATTATTATTGTTCCCTTGGGTTCCTAGTGGAACATAGAGCTTCAACTGCACGTCTCCACTTATCACTTATGTCTTCCTTCTGCTGTACTTTTCACCTGCATCCATCCATGTTAGTCCATACTGTTTCAACTCCTCTTCACACGATCTCCTCCATGTCACCCTTGGACCGACGTCCCACTCGCCGCTTCCCTTTCGGCCTAGTTCCACTCGAGCAATGGCCTGACGCGCGCGTGATGTCACCCAGCGGCCTCCTCAGCGAGTGAGTGTCCGATCCATCTCCACTTTTCCTGCATATTTGTTGGGCGATTGGTTTGTTCTTGTTTTGTTTGTTCCCGCATTTTCATGATGTATAAAAAAATGGTGAAGATTTGTCATACAGTAATAAATCCTAAGTGATTACAGTTGCTCAGGTATTGGTGTGTGGGGATTTAATTGATTGGTTACAGGATTTCATCATGAGCTGATACGGGTTAGAGATGTCGTGACCAGTACGGTACAGCAGGTCGCATGTGAGGACAAATACCCGCCACGGATGACATTGGCTAGCAGTCGCGCTATGTCGTGAATTCGCAGAAGTTGGAATTCATGGACTGGCCATTGAGGAATCGAGTCCCAGTGGCTTAATGGTCAACGAGCTAGCTGGCCTTGTAACCAGAAGGTCCTGGGTTCCAACCCCAGTGGGGTGGGCGCGGACTGCTAAAGAGTCCCAAACCAGGCTGACGAAACAGCTGTCCAGTGGTTCTCTAACTGATACCAGCTCATGATGAAATCCTGTAACTGATTACGGGTGATCAAATGTCAGTCTAGGTGCGGTCCTCAAGATCTCAGTGTGATTGGACCACAGGTGTCCTCATCTATACATAAAATGTGTGATCACCTGAAAGAGGCTGGGAATCCTCATTATACTTTATGTAATTAATTAGTGTTTTCCTCTAATACATTCTCATTAAATTTGTGTATGCCTTATCAAGTGTGACAATTTAGAGACTGATACCTATAATCATATTCGTCATCTGTGAACTACATGGTTCAACGTGGAAACTGGAAATATTCAGATCACGGCATGTGATCTGTTTAGTAAGACAAATGGCAATCAAGAAAACAGGTGAAATACCGTGGTGGTTATATACTAACTGATGATGCATTGACAGAAGTAGCTGGAAGCTACTCAGGTTAAACGGTATTGCTTGCGCTAACTAGATAGAAGTGAAATTATGCAATTAGCATGTGACGAATTAAATGCTATGTACTACCAGATGGTTATATCTGATTCGGCTCTCCCAGCTGAGACAAACCGGATACACTGATGATGAGCTCGGTATCAAATGAGAGGAACGACTGTTCTTAGTTTAGATCCCCACAACCTACCTAGTGCAGGTTCACTGCTCTCACATCAATCACTGGTATATACACCATTACTCTATCGAACTGATGCTCTTTTGTGTTCAGTTTAGATCAAATGTTAGTCGTTCAGTAGGGTCATTTAATTTGATGATATTAGATGGTTGGAGGCAATCGGCCACAGGAAGCCTTGCTTGACCTAGGTTTCGTGCTAGCTCGCACTCACCGTCAACAAGGCAGGCGTATCTTCAACCTTGAAGGAACTCATGTCCCTTCTGAGATTCGAACCCGCGTCACCCAGTGCTGCAGTCGGAGATATTACCACTGAGTTATTCGGGCTAGCGATTGACCTCCTGTAGGACTGTAGTGGATACTTTGATTGGACACTGGTAACTAGTGTGATGTGTCTGGCCAGTCCTTTTCCTGCCGACTGCCTCCAACCACCTAATATCATCAAATTAACGTGCACCGTGATGGTGAGCCACCTAACACAGTGGCCAAATTGCAAACCTGACTGACAGAATTCAGTCTGCACGAAAGAAAGGACTAGACACATCACACTAGTTACTGACTAGTGTCCGATCAAAGGGTCATTTAGTATTAACAGTGGTCTGGTTTGATAAGCCTTACTTAGTGCTTCAATGAGACATTTTGTCTAATAAGAAGAATCAAGTTAACTTTAACGATGGTCACGCTATACCACAAGTCAGTAAAAGTTAGGAAATATGACAATTAATTTTGATATGATAACTAATTCTCCTAAACCAAATGCCTCATGTGGCTTTAGGTTTTCACTGCTTCAAAAATCAGACACAGGAAAGAAAGTGTGTTCAGTGAAGATTAGCTCCCGCCAAATGCAAGATGATGTTACAGGACTGGACCACTTTGCCTCCTAGTTTAGAAATAGGGAGTGAAGCGGTAGAACACGTTGACCGCTTCACTTATTTGGGAAGTACTATCAGTCCCAACGGGTTGATCTCTGACGAAATCTCCGCACGAGTACAGAGGGCTAGTCTCGCATATGCCAGTTTACGCCGTCTCTGGCTTAGTAGACGTGATATCCGTATGGCTTTCGACCAAAGGGCGGATGTACTGCTGAGCAGTCCGCTCCGTCCTCCTTTATGGCTGTGAATGGCACATGGCCATTGAGAGTGGAAGACATGAAAAGGCCAACTAGCTGTCTTTGATCATAGGTGCCTGCGTTCTATCTCCCGTGTTAGGTGGTCGGTGTAATAGGGTGAGCAATATTGAGGTTAGGCATCAGTCAAGTGCTAGATAGGTGGGAGGGAAAATCAATCGATGAGGCTGTGAAACTACATCGACTGAGATGGTTAGGAATGTGTTACGAATGTCTAGTCATCGCCTTCCTTGACCAACGGGCAATCTTAGCTGATATAAGGTCAGGCTGAAAAAGAGCTAGCGGCGGTCAAACCAAAACATGTCACTAGTCAATGAAATCCATAAGTTAGTCTAAGCCACGTATGAAGATGTAGACTTCCTGGCTGGTTGGGGTCCTCGGGACGGTAAAAAGCCATGGCTGGAGACAATTGGTGATATGGCTCAAAATCGTTGTCAGTGATAGAGCAGATACATCCACTCCCTGTAACTTATGATTTCCAATGAAACTATATTGTTCTTCGTTATTACTATTCGTTTGTCTCACACCTCTGTTTACTGTCTCTAGTATCCATTTCTTTTACTTTCTTCTCTTGCTTTGTGTGCTACATGGAGTGTGGCGACTCGAACTGTCGCACATCGGTGCAAAGTTCTATGTCGAAAACACACAGACAGACAGTGAAGATTAGTTTCCAATATGGGCTTAGCAGTTGTCAGTACAAGACAAAAGCTACATTTAAATCTATGAATTTCTCAAAAACCCTCTAAGTATAAACAAAAAAGATACGATGTGATGTAACTGTATTTTGTAAAACTATCGATACAATCTCCAAAAAATCAACACTTGAAAATCAATGAATTAGTGTGTTTATAGGGTGGAAGAGTTGAGTTTTTCTTATATCGTACACCACTCTTATTTTATAAATCACTTTGTTGAAAAGACTGAGGACGATCTTCAAGACAATTAGCTTATACAATACGAACTGATCTTCATATAGTAGCCAATAAAGTGCCAGTGGGTGTCAGTAAAAGACAAGAAATTCATCTAGGCAACTCAGCGTACTAGCTTACTGCTGAAAATATACATATATATGTGATTTTTATCAAAGTGAAAACGACAAAAAGAACTAACAATTACCTGCATAAAATCAATTTGTATGCAATTAGAGGAACCTCTTCAAAAATAATCCAACGAGATACTTCGTTCATTTCAGTTAATTCACTAAGCACAGATTGACTGAGTTCAGCATTTTCATATTCATATTTAAGATAAACTGTTTTCTTGTCATGACATTTACCCTACAAGTAGACGGATGAAGGCTTGTATGACAACACATCAAAGCAAAATAATTTCCTTTTGCATTGTTGAAGTTTAATATTGAAATATTATTGGAATGAAAGCATTTCTTTCAATACAATTTATGAATGAACAAATGAGATGTCGTAATGATTTGTAAACAAGCAATGTGAACCGGTCAGAAGTGATTTCAATGCCATGAATTAATGTTTACACAAATCGATTATCCCCACAAAAGTGTATATCGTTGAGATTCAAATCTAGAGTAACAGGCTGAGGGTTCGAACTTCACTTTAACACCTCTATTCTAGTCAGTCTGATATTTTTATAACCGATTGTACTTTGTCCGATAACCTGATACACCATATCACAGCGAATCGCTGACATACATTAGATATTTGACATCAAATCCTTGCTTTTACTAAAAAAAATTAATCGCATGAAGTAGTTGACAGAGTTTTAGTCGAGCTGTCTCCTTCCCAATACCTGTTCAAGTAACAAATGCGCGCTGATAGTACTACCATTTCATAATATTAGAAGAGAAAATAATGAAAAATTCCACTAAAAGCATTAAAAACTATTCTTGGTATCTTGATTAGTGTTTCAATCTAATATGCAGGATTAATGTGCGATCGTTTGATACAGAATGCAGCAATTCCGGACATAATAAGTGAGTACACTTTTGATTACCTGACACAACCCAATAGTAGCTACGATTCTTAATTCAAAAGCATATCAAAATCTAAATTAAATATATAAATATTGATTTCCTACAGTTTAGTTTGTAAAGGTTAGTTTTGTTTTTACGAGTTGATCACGGATTGATATCAGTTGGAGAACCCTTGAAAACCAAGGAGTATTGGACAGCTGTTTCATCCTAGTTTGGGAACCATCGGTAGTATGCACCCACTACAGGGGGTTCGAACACAGGACCTTCCGGTTACAAGGCAAGCTGACTCGTATATCATTCATCCACTGGGACCCGATTCAATGGCCATTGCATGAATTCTAACTTCTACCAATTCTTGATTTAGCGCGACCCCAAACTAGGATGAAACAGCTGTCCAGTACTCCATTGCTGGTTTTTAATGGTTCTGTAACTGATATCAATCCATGATCAACTCGTTAAAATAGAAAAATATATACATAAATATTGAAATTAAAATACCTTTCTATGCTGCCACCTTCGAATGTTCGAAGTAAGCTACAAATACTTTTTATGGACTACACACTTGTAACAGGACAACCGACATTTTGTGCTGCCTTTGTGCTTGTTAACATGCAAGGAGTCTAGATCCCAAACCAGTCACACGAAGCTTGATAATTCATTGAAAGTATTTCCAAATCAAATTTTCCAGCTTATTGGCAAATACATTGCGCTTCTAAGAAAACGTTAACCATAAATAAACGTGATCATTTATTTGTCAGCCCTATACGCCAGTCATGGTCCTGGTTTGTGTGGTGTTTCCTAAGATACCTCTATCGGACTGACCATATGTCAGATAACAAAAATAGCTGGCCTCAGCCAGCGCACCTACATATACTAACAAGAGTACCATGAAAAATTTGAATGATCTGTTACCCAAAACAGCTTCGTGTAGCGACCATAGGTCAAACTTATTGTGTGAGAGTTGGTGTTAGTACTTTGTTGCACAAGTGGAAGCAGGTTAGGCGAGATGAGAATGAATGACCAATCAGTTGGAATTCAAGTACTTAAGCCAATGAGACAAACCTCCATTATTGCATATTAAGGGTGCAAATACTATGTAAATAATACATATAAAATTAGCTCCATATTAAATAAGCCAACATGCCAAATTTTTTAATGTGTTACTTTCAAAAGACTTTACGGGTATATCTTATACACAAATTTCCTTTGGACTTGATAACAGCTGACAAACTGTATAAAAAGAACTTACCTCGGCACTTTGCTTAACTTTTTTTACTACCCACGCCGACTGTTCCATTTCTAAAGACTCCTTCAGAACTTTTTCTAGACGTTTTATCGATTGCCACCACTTCGCCCAATTATCCGCATAATTGCAAATAAGCAGGTGGAACGGATCTTCAGGAAGACTAGATTCACTCGAATGAGAAACTAAAACTAATTCAAACTCAGACTCCTAGAAAAGCTACGTTAGACAGAATGACAGCTTACCACCAAAAAATTCTGTTCAATTTCGTTTAGCTTATCTACAGAACGATTAATGTACAGGTTCCTGAGGTGTTCAGAGCTGAGTGGGGCAGGAAAAGCATCAAAAAGTGAATTGTCGCTTTCAGTCACATCTTCAATGAAGTCTGGTGCAGAAGCCTCCACTTTCTGCTCCTTGGTTTCTTCTGCAACTGGGGAATTGATATCAGAGTTAAGTGACTGTGTTTGTTCCAGATGGTCATTAGGAAAAAGTTCATGCAATAAAGGGTAAGAAGGGACATCTTTTTCGGTTTCTGTGACAGTTTCACATGAGTGCATAGGATCATCTTTAGTTTCTGTAACAGTTTCAGGTTGGGAAACAATTTCTTCAACATTTACAGACGTCTCACACTCAACTGGAAGAGGATCATCAGGCACATCAATTGATTCCAAACGAGCGATTATTTCAGAAGTCTAAAAGTAAAATAAAAAAACGGAAAATACCTTTAATTTTGGTCGCCTGACCTTGACGGCCTCCATCTGACAGATACAGTAACGCACACATCAATAATACCACATTTTTCAATATTCAGGCTATTCGTACGACCAAACTAATAACGGATATGTAGTTTTCTTTGCTCTGAATACTTGCAAGTTGACAAGAAAATTCAGATATCTTCTCATATTTGCATCACAGTTTCAGCTTCCTTTTTGAAGAGACATATAGGATGGGGTTGATTTCACACTCATACAGACATTCGAAACTGTTGGCTTCTTTACGACCACCTTTTGACCCCGTACATCGGTTCAGTCTCACTCCAGTTATATTCCCAAGCCTGTCGAAACTGTCAGGCAAACGATATATCTCATGTGGTCTACAGTTTTTCAATGTAAATTCCTAATAGTGATTGAATCTTGGGGAAAGAACAAGCAAATATTACAGCAGTAGTAATGATCTGCTCACTCATATCACAGAATCGGAAGAAAAGGCGGTGTAGTAGCAAAAAATCCTCCTGAACTATTAGACCCTAGTTTTCGTCATCTCTATTTCCAAGTCATCTGATTAGTCTGATGGTACCCATGTGGAGTCCTCAAAAATGGGCTCATCCAATTTTTACTACTATGTAAGAAATGAACATATTGTACATTACTTTGTTTTATCCATAAACTCTGTACTTTGAACTTTACCTCGGGTTTTGAATAAATATGTAGTTCTGCCTTCGACTCTCCGTCTTCTCCACCATCCCAACTGCCTTCGATCAATTATAATCACCTGCTTTCTATCTCAAATTTTTGCAGGAGCACCGTAGTTTCTCCCTACGTACTTTGGTCGACCTCCAGCAACGTCAACATTGGAGAATTAGTACTGGAGCAGTCTCCCCGCAGCACCCCTGGAGTCTATTACGTTTATTGTGGATTTTGGATCTTTGTAAACCCAATTAACGAAACTTTAATATATTCTTCCCGTAACTAAACTGGTTTGGTATTTTATTTTCTGTTTGAATTTGGGTAACTAAGCTAACAGAGTAAAAGGTCCACCACAATAATTGGTGAGCCCGTTTTCGGACCTTTTTTCGATAGTTCACTCGTTTTGAACATTTCTGTTGCTTTTTTGGCCTAATAAACTCGCATTGCTTAAATTTTTGTTACCACACGTTTTGCTATTTTGTACATCTCTATACTCTTATATTATATGACAATGGCTCCATCTAAACGTACCACTGTTGCTGAAGAAGGTAATAAAGGCGAAGAGACACAGAACTCTTCTGTTAACGCCTTGCCGGATTTAAGACTACCTCAATGGGATCTGGCTGAACCACGTGTCTGGTTCACAATCATTGAACAGTTGTTTGCAGCTCGAGGTATTACGTCGCAGATTGCCATGTATGGTTGCGTATTAGCAGCAATACCCACGGAAGTACTACGAGGGGTTATCGATGTCATAGACAGCAAACCTACAGACTCTCAATATTACAAACTAAAAGCTGCACTCATCCAGCGGACCACTCTCTCCGATGAGAAACGCATACAACAACTACTTCGTGTGATCTAGGTACAAAAAAGCCATCTCAACTACTTAGACATATGCGTCAGTTGATTGGATCACACAAAGTAGATGAGTTAATTCTACGTCAGATGTTCTTACAACGTTTACCACAAAACGTTCAACAAATCCTAACAATATCTTCTAGGACGACAGACCTTGAAGAATTAGCTAAGATGGCAGACGATATTGGCCTCATTCAAAAAAGTGCTTAACGACAAACTACACGAGTTTGCAAACGACAGTAGTCCTAGTTCCTATCTGAGAGTCTCCGAAATTATAGGTCCATTTAATGTATAAGCTCAAATACTACACCTGTTGTTTTTGCCTATATTTATAATTTTAGACAAAACATTAACGATTAAGATACTTACCCTCAAAAAGACAGGAAGTTTCGTTTGTAAAACTTCTACCCAACACAATAAGTGGAACAAAATGGACATAAACCAACAACGTGAAAAAGATAGAACTCACCACAACATCACATGGACAGATGTACGCTCGTCGGACATCATATATGCCTCACCAACTACAACCCAACATTCCTGAGATAATGTGATGAACTTATATCCGTAATGTTGCTGAGCAGTCAATATCCACAACTCATGTCGTAACAACTGAAATTCAAAAACCTTCCTCACGAGAAGTAAATACCCACAAGCAGTAGAAATCCATTAATTAACGCGTCTAAAGCTTATGTATTTTACTCCCAACAATGACATTGCAGATCAAATGAGATAAACATATCACTGATTTCAAAATAACACATCAATGAACTATAATTCAAGGACTCTGCACACAACAAAGTATTGTACGAAAACTGACTTCAAGCTTTATTTTTTTTTCCCAGGCACTTATAACCCATCCACCAAAGACCTGGTTTTTTTTGTTAATGCGAAGACAATACTTCTGTATTTCCTGATGTGTTGCACTCACTGACATTCTAGCGGATTTTTTCAACTATGCACAGAAATGATTGTACATAAGTGAAAAGGATGTTTTATGCTATTGGGATTAACATTTATCAAGTGTATGTATAATCTCCAGTGTACATGTTAAACATATTTTGTCATCGATTGTAAAATGTGACTGAATAATATGGTCCTATTTCTGTAACAATTTGATGATGCCTGTAAACTGGCGTCCCTCATGTACTGTATCATGAGAATAAATTTATTTATTTATATCATGGATGTGTTATCAAATAATGGCATAAATAGCGTGTCTACAGAGGTAGTACGACCAAGTCCTTCCACATCTATGAAGGACGCACCAATGTTTTGGTTACTTTCCCAGTTAAAATCTCAAATGCAAGACTTACGACTGGAAGTGTCTGAGCTTCAAGAACAACGGGACCAGTCACATGCGGTATCCAACCAACGGCGATCAAGATCTAGACGACGTTCTAGAACACCGTCTCAAAGCCGTAACATTTGTTGGTATCATAGGAGGTATGGGCATAATGCCCTGAAGTGTGTTCGACCGTGCATGTACAACAGTGGTAACTCAACTCAGGGAAACTCTCCAGCCAGACAGTAATGGCGACGGCTGTTACTGGCAATCACCACAGTCGCCTTTTCTATGTGAGGGATTTCACTACCGGAACATTATTCCTGGTAGATACGAGCGCCGAGGTCAGTGTTATCCCCCCTCACTATCCAGGCGATCTGCCAAAATACCGGGGAAACTTTCACTCCGTGCTGCCAACTAAACCAACATACAAACGTATGGCGAACAGTCAATGATTTTAAACTTAGGACTACGCCGAAGTTTCACATGGATCTTCATAGTAGCTGACGTACGTCACGCTATACTAGGTGCAGACTTCCTAAGTCATTTCAATCTGTCAGTTGATATCAGCAAGAAAAAGCTGATTGACAACTGCACCCAGCTCAAGATCCACGGTATTACATGTGACTACTCTGTTCATAGCATCTGTATGGAAAAGCCGGAGAGTGAAATGCTCTCTACTTTATTGCAACGATTTCCTAAAATCCTTAAACCGTCATACAATGTCGAAGATATATCTCATACAGTTACGCATAAGATCATCACAACAGGACAGCCTGTGAAGGCACGTCCACGACGGTTACCACCCGATAAACTAGCAGCAGCTAAGTCGGAATTTGAACATATGATGCAGCTAGGCATCATACGACCATCTAACAGCCCATGGTCTTCACCTTTGCATATGGTACACAAAACTAATCACGACTGGCGACCATGTGGAGACTATCGCGCTTTGAATAACGCTGCGGTCCCAGACCGTTATCCTATACCTCATCTCCACGACTTCTCCTTGACCTTACATGGAAAGACCATTTTCACTAAAGTTGACTTGGTCAGGGCATATAATAATAATAATAATCACTTTATTCCTCAACAATAAAAATTTACAGCATGGAATTTTCAGCGTTTCTGTTACATATTGCAATGGTTTAGCTCTGTTTATAATTATATGAATGTATAAAATTTGAAAATATTGATAGTTAATAGGAAAAGAAAAAAAAATAAAAATAAAAAATATAAAAAACCCAACAAAATCATACCATTTGTAGGTCATAGTGAATAATAAATAAATAATATAACAAATAACACATGCATTAATATGCATCATTACATTTTATAGTTTAGTTATTGATTCAAAAGTTGTAAAAGTTCTTTTCTGATATTTGTCTCTTCACACAATACTCGTGCCAAATATGGAACGGTCGAATTTTTATATTTTGTAGTACGAGCATAAATGTTTATAAAATTTCTTCTGGTCTTACCCGAAGAGATACAAGGAAACAATTGTGAATAAAGAGGATGTTCACTATCAGATAAGATAACTTTAGCTAAGTGTTTACAAGAATTCATATGCCTATTGACAACAGTGTCATTTAGTTGAGTCAAAGGGATAGCACTGACCCTACTTACAGCCCTCAATGTTCTTCGTAGTATTATATGGTCTTTCTTGAGTAGCCCAGGGAAGAATAATGGAGAACAATAAAGAATGATGGGCAAAACACATGAATTAATAAATTGTATGATAAGAGATTGGGTTATACCTGAGTGTCTCAACTTCTTTATGTAATAAGTCAGACGGAAAACTTTCTTAGAAACTATAAGAATATGAGACGACCAGCAAAGATTTGAAGAGAAACTAATGCCAAGATAAGAAACACTTGACTTACTCTCTATCATGGTACCATCAATATTACAACAATCATGAGATTGAATCAATCCATGCATGTCTTTTTCACTTCTCAAGCTGAAATCAACAGTGTTACATTTAGTTGGATTTAGTTTAAGACCATTTGAGCCAGACCAATCCTTAACTTCAGCTAAGAAGCCATTCATATGGGAACAATCCGATGTGGAAACTACAGGGACAGAAACGGTCAGATCATCAGCATACTTAATGAAGTTAACTTTGGGTGAGTTCGGAAGGTCATGCAAAAGAAAGAGAAAAGAAATGGAGAAAGTACTGCACCTTGAGGCACACCACTTTCAGTTAGCTGAGAAGTGGAGCGCTTTCCAGCCAAAACAGTATGCTGTTTCCTATCCTTAAAATAAGAAGACAGCCAT